TACTTGAAATCTACTGTTAATCATGAGTTGGTTTTCACTAGGTGTTCTGAGGGTTTTAAGTTGAGTGGGTATGTGGACTCGAGTTTTGCTAATGATAGAGACAATAGGAAATCCACTACCTCTTATGTGTTTACCCGGGTCTTGCATTAGTTGGAAGTCTCAACTTCAACCCATAGTTGCCCTATCCACAACTGAGTCTGAGTATGTGGCCGCTACCGAAGCGTTTAAGGAAGCCATTTGGCTTAAGCGTCTCCTAACAGAGATTGGTAGCCTTAAGCAGGACATTTGTGTGTTTTCTGATAGTCAATCTGCTATTCAACTGTGCAAAAACCATGTTTTTCATGATAGAATTAAGCATATTGATGTTAGATTTCATTTTCTACGTGATATTGTAAGTGCAGGTGATATCAAGTTGATTTAAATTCCATCTGAATTTAATCCTGGTGACATGGGGACTAAATGTCTTTCTATCGAAAAATTGGTGTCGTGCAAACGCACGTTAAACATTGATTGCGGATAAGTTGCCTGGTGATCTTACCCCTTTTGCTTGAATGTGTCTTTGTGATCATTCGGGTAATCCAACGATGATGAGTCTCAAATTTGTATTAGAGTTTTGACTCTGTACCACTATGGTCCAATAAGCCGGAGAATGTGTTAGGTATTGGCCCACTTGTCCATTTGCCCAATTCCGTTTATGAGTAAACCCGACCCATGTTTTTCCGGTAATCCCTTGGTTCGTCCGCTTCTTCCCGTTGAACAATTACTTCTGCTTCGTTCCTTCCTTTTTTGAGCTACTGCGAATCCTACTGATAAGGCAAGTTATTCGAGCTTTCCTTGTCTGCGTTTTTTACCTTGGCCTATATATATGCTTCTGCTTGACCGATTGTGGTGTAGCACTGAAAACCCTCCTTCCTTCCTCTGTGGGTTCGCCGGAAAGTATTTGGCCGGATAAGTTGTTGGTTGTTGCCACACACCTCCTCCTTGAGACTATAGTGGTTTGATTTCATCCTTTGTAAGTGAAAAGTAGTGAGGCCTGAGCTGGATATCGGAATTACATCTATCATTGCCAAAATTGAAAAACATGTTATTTTGTGCTAGAGCGATAATTTGTGTAACACCGTCCCCAAGTATATTTACTTTTACCAAATTATGTATCGAAACTTGAGGAATGATTAATGAATGAGTTTTTGCCATTTTCGGTCCTCCGATTATTAGGTTAGTGACACTTTTGGTACTCGACTTCTAATTTTTCCATTTTTAGTCCTCGACTATTGTGCTAGAGACACTTTTAGTTCCCGACTTCAAGGTTTCCCCCATTTAGTCCTTTGACAATTGTCAAATTTACACTTTTAGTCCTCCCATTATGATTTTGACACAATAAATAGAGGACTAAAAATGTCACTTTGATAATAGTTGAAAGACAAAAAATGTAACTTTTATGAAAGTTGAAGGACTAAATATGAAAATTTTCAAAAACGAGTACCAAAAGTGTTTCTAGCGCAATAGTTGAGGACTAAAAATGGAAAAAATTAAAGTCAAATACCAAAAATGTCAATGATATAATAGACAGAGGACTTAAAATGGTAAAAACTCATTAATGAATTTACGAGGTTGTAAATTTTTGTTATTTGTTTTACGTGAATAGTAGAATCCACGTGGGACCCACTTGGGAGCACGGTCCACCCAATAATTCTGAGACCACATAATATATTCATCTTGATGTAGATAATAATTATATGATGGTGTATATTCATGTTGGACCAATGAAACAACATAGAGTTGGCCGGTTGGTCAAACAAGGCCCATATACCAGTATCAGCATTCTACCAGAAAACAACACGTAATAAATTCCGGGGACTACTAAATTAAAGTTGGGGGATATATAATAATTGGCAGAATGATATATATTTTACTTGGTTCGATAAAATGAAATTTAATTAAAACAGTCTGAGAAATACAACTTTCAGGACCAAGTGTACACTCCACGACATAAGGAGATGACCTCCCAAATGAGTGAGGGCTACCCCACACAATTATGCACTCAAGCACAGCCAAAGGACAGATGGAGTGATGGGAGGGGATGAGGGAGATGTTTAACTTGAGTTGATTGGTATCAAAGGGGGCATGGTCGGCCTCCCTCCCACATTCATTGAGCAAAAGCAACAAAAGTAGTCTCCTCACCCCTACCCCCTATCACATTTCGACCAAAACCATCCAAGAGAAAGAGGAGAACTCTGCAACACTATTTCTCCATAGCCAAGTTGAGCTCAGGCAAGGATAAGGTCCAAGGAAGAAGATTAAGTGGAAAAACGAAGGAAAAGCTTGGTAAACAAAGGCAATGATATCATTAAAATTTTACATTCATTCACGAATTCTATATGATTAAATAAATCATACGTAGTATGTTAGAGCCCCAGAATTGTTCTAAATGCTTGGAGGTGTAGAATGAGGGGTTGGAAGGTGGTTCTAAGTTCAAGAATGGACTTAAAAGCCAAGATGACCAATTCATCGAAAAATAACCTTTTAGAGGTTATTTGTATCGATAAGAGTTTTTGGATAATGAAACCTTGTTAGGAACATTTCTAAGGTATTCTAAGTACTCTCACGGTGTCGAGATAGTTGTCGGAGGTATCGCTGGAGTTCATCAAAGTTCACCGGAGGCCAACCGAAGGGGGTAGAACTTCTTAAAGCTCATTTGAGGTGAGTTGATGGCTTAATGTCTTATAACTCTTGGTTAAGTATGAGATTACCTAAAGAAATTTTATATGTGTTCATAATGATGTTTAAAAGAGTTTAAGCATGTGATTAGCATAGGTGATTAGGCTTATGTGAGATAAATTAGTACATTATGCATGTAAATGGATCAAAATGCATATAAAAATATAGATGATGTTTTGAATGACTAAAATGACATATATTAATTGTTTATGACTTATTACACGTTGTGACTGAGATTCGTAGCAATCAGAATCGATTTGGGCAGACAACGAACCGCTGACCAACTTCGGGGGCGTTGACTGGTGCCGGTCAGGCCTTCGACCCGTGCCGCTTTAGCTCGTCCAGACTGGTTTACGAGAAATAAATGATGATCCGGCACTGGTCAGACCCTGAATCAGCGCCATTTCGGTCTCGAGGTTGGGTTTTTTATAAAAACGTTAACTGGTACCAGTTCAAGGTAGAACCGACACTGATCAGTCTATATATGTATATTATGCATGGATTTGCATGGAACATTGTGTTTAGATGCTAAGGTTTGGATTAGTCATTAGTAATGATATGATATACACTATAGCCGGGTAAGGTATATGATAGATCATAGTTTTGGGTGGAGTACCCATGCCAGGGACTAGGCGGTGTCCTCACTCATAGGTGCAGGTGGAGTATCTGGGGGCCGAGGGTGTCCTCAAAACTCGGATATTAAGGGTGGAGTACCTAGGGCCGGTCGGTGTCCTTAAACTCAGAAATTGGGTGGTGTACCCTAGGAACGAGCAGTGTCCTTAAAACTTATTATTACCAGGAGAGTGGCCCGGTGGTTGAGTAAGGCTATCAACACTCGCTTATATAATGAACCCTAAGATATAACGGGAGGGCTAAACATCGGGTTGGATATGGGGAATTGGGGACGGGGTTAGTCAAGGACTAAGTCCACCATGATTTTGTTGATTGATTAAAAGACCTACAAGTCGGGTATTTTCCAAGAGTATATATTTATATATATTTTAAAGACTTGGGGAAACTATATGTTTATGTATCACCCTATGTTTGGTTTTATACTTTAAACGTTAGTTATTCTACATTTAGCTCGCTTCTCGTCAGTACGAGTGTACTGACTCCTAGGGGGGCCCTCACCATTTTTAGATTGAAGCTATAGCTTGTTCCTGCACCTTTGTACGAGTAAAGTGACCTCAAGGAATACGTGATTCGTGTTTCCTTTATTGATTTGAAATTATAAACTATGCTCATAGATATTTTGTATTTGATACTTTATTTTGGACCTGTGAGCCCACGTTTTGCCATATGTTGCCCATGATTGATTTATGAATATTTCTGCTATTCATTCAATCTAAAGCGTGATGTTTTTATGTATGCTTACTTATTGAGTATAGTATGAACTATGTTCATAGACGTCTTTACAATCGAGTGAGAGTGACTTGCAGGTGATGTCACTTGATTGTCCAGCGATTGCACACACGCCTAAATGATACTTTCTTTAGGATTGTCAAAATAATGTTTACTTTTTATTTGATAAACTAGTCAAACTTGACTAAGTGGTGAGAAAGGGATGAAGAATATGGATTTTTGAAAAAAGCAATTTGAGGTGTACAACGAAAGTCATTGAAAGTGCACATATTGTGCCATGTTAGCGGGTGGCGGGCATCTTCACTTTAAGACCAATGATATGGATCTGAACAATGACGCATACCAAGTGCAGGGGCCAAATAAAAGAGTAGGGGAAGTTGGGGGAACTCATCTTTCTTAAACCCATACATCGACGGACCGCCTTGTCATCATGGGCTGATTCATGTATCCATTCCAAGTCTAGACCCAATCCGTTTTGGGATGGTTTAACATGTCAATTCTTCCATGTGTAGACTAACTAGAACCCCATAAATGGAGAAATGCTTATCTTTTTTATGATAAAACTCTTCCCATTTCCGAGGCTATTGCGTTTATTAATAAACCGAAGTTGAATCCTAAAAAGCCCAATATCCAGATTATCAATCGGGACAAATCCTGAAACCCCCACTGTTTTTTTTAAATCAACACTGCCTTTAGCAACTCATTATTGTGATTGCCATAGTCATCTTGTACACTACACTTTAGAAACCCACCTTCATGAACTGATAAATAGTTGGCATGTCAATAACTGGTAATTGTGATAGTTTTTTAAATACATCATTTTTAAAGGATAAGAGGTAAGGAAGAGATATTTTTGCGGGATTAAAATTGGACATGATTAAAGCATATGACCAGGTTGAGTGAGAAGTTTTGGAAAGTATGCTTAGTAGACTAGGTTTTGCGGCCAATGGGTGAAGTTAATAATGGAATCTGTCTGCACGGTGTTTTATTCTATCCCTTTTGATGATCCAGAGATTGGGCCTATTCTTTCATCGAGGGGACTTATTTATCTTTGTTGCAGACGGGTTAAGCACCAGATTGCGAAGGGAGGAAAGAATGAAAAGGTTTCATAGAGTGGGTGTGGTGAGAGAGGTGCTTAAATTTACACATCTTTTATTTGTGAATTGTGAATGATAGTTTCCCTTTCTTTAGAGCAACCCACTTCTCTCTTTCTTTTAGTGCTAATGTTGTGGGTCGTGGATCGGAGGAGGGGACAAGGTATGTTGATCTTCCTTCACTAGTGGGTAGAGACAAAAGAGAGCTGTTAAGTAATACAGTATCAAAGAAAGGGTTATTAGGCGTTTAAATAGTTGGAATCATAGATTTCTATCCCATGCAGGTAGAGGTGCTTCTGAAAGCAGTTGATTTATTCAAGAACATGGATCGAGATAGTTTAATGAAAGAACTCAAAGAAGATAAGGAGGGTTGGGATCCTGATATACTTGTTGATTTATTCAAGAACATGGATCGAGAGTTGATTCTTAGCATTCAATTATGGAAATCGCAAATTCCTCCGAAGGTAAAAGTATTCTTTTACCAAAGAGAGTGGATTGTTCACAAAGTTGTCCATCACGTTTGCTAGAGCATATATTTGGATTATGTATGGTTGCAAATTAAAGCAGGTTTGGGATCTTATGAAATGGATGGAGTTCCTCTCTTACGGGAGCACAAACTTTGAGGCTGAAAGTTGTGTATTTGAATAACTAAAATATATGGAGTAAATAATTAATTGCTCCATAATTAAAAAATATCAATAACCATAAAATTCAAATAATATCGTGCTAGATTTTTTTTGGATTTATATCTTGCTAGATTTGAACAAGTGTGGCCTGCGAGACATGAATATTGTCACCCAAGTATGACTCACATGATACAATTCACATACCAAGAGTTTGTATTTAAGAACTATTTATTGTTACCTGTCACCATTGGGTTATATGCCAAAATAACAAAACAAAACAAAAACATTTTCCTTCCAACCTACAATATCCCGACTGATAATGCTCTAAAGAGGATGGGATAAGTTGTTGAAACACAATTACAGAACGTTTGTAGGGAAAGAAGAGTACATTATTGAGTCCCACATCTCCCCGTTTGGAGTGACCAGCGACAGAGATCTTATTTTGGCCGTCGATTAAGGATGTCATCAAAGCTGTGCTTTATTCTGTTACCCACCTTCCTCAAGTTCTTGGCTACTCCATTGGCAACCAGGTTAGCATTCCTAGAGAACCTGAATATGTTTAAAAACAAAAAAGAGACTAGTAATCATTCTCTACTCATAGTAGGTGCATACATAGTGATATCAAAATTACATCCATGAGATTTCAAGAAACATGTCTTGCCTGGTTAGGAATTCATCCCCGGCTGGGTACGGCGGTTTATGAGGGCGAGGTTGAGGCGCTCCAACATCTTCAAGAGACGATACTCACTATTAAGTTGTGCGACGAATAATATCATTATTAATGCCAAATCCATGCAATTGAATCCTTACTTTTTCTTTTAATTAAATGGCACAACTGAAATTAAAAAGTAAAGCTGATGGATCTAGTTGCAAAGATTTGAAAATTGTTTACCCAAGTTGACCTTGGTGAAGTGATTGGGGAGTGAACCAATCCTATCCCTCATTCCCAGGGGATATTTGGATTGCAAAGTTCAAAAGGATGCACTTGAAATTTAAAAATAAAGGTTGAAGATTCGATTGCAAGGATTTAAAGGAAGCGTACCACAGATGGGTAAAAGGGCGTATTGACTTTTACAGGTATAACACTACATTTGAAGCCCCATACCGAAGAAAAAGTATTGTTTACATTACTACATGCATTTGATTACATTATAATGCATTTCAATATGGCTTAACAAACTAGACTCAAGTCCACAAAAAAAATGATTATCATACATACTTGCATACATACATACACTAATAGGAGCAGGCATTTCTGATGGACTTGAATTATGAGGTTGTATTTACTTTAGAGTAAGCAGGGTTCCCCTATTGGTTCAGATTCAGCATGCCATTCAAAGGAAAAATTAAGATTCCATTTTGACTGTCTAGACAAACTCATAATGATCCAGTCATTCAGATAAAGATGAGTAAATGCAGTTCATGTTGCTTCAGTAAAGACCAATTAACAATATGTAGGGCACAAATAGTTTGCTCATTTGGAATAGGAGAATGACAATATAAATACCCAAGATGGTTGAAACTTTAACATCATTCTATAATCTAAAATATAAACGCTGAATTCAATAGCACACTTCCACATATATCCCAATACAGAGCCTTTTTCAGCATGGAAACAAATCATCCATTACAAACCCATACACACAAAAATATTCAGCGAATTGATGGTGGTACCCTTTTCATTCAACTTTAGGTTGCTAAAAACTATCCAATTAGACTGGGAAACCCTTTTGCAGATAACATATGATTTTACCTTCCCGATTATGGGCCTGTGCAGGAGCACGATTAGGATGGTTAGTCGGGACAGTCCTTTTATCTAGTAGAATCTGTGCCAAGGCTTTATTAGTGTCAGCAAAACAATGAGTTTGAACTTTGAAGAGAAAGAGAAATGCCTAACCTCAAGACCAACACAAGCTGGCAGTTCTGTCTGTGTTTGTTGTCCATCAGTTGGGTGAGATTTGTTATCTGGGTAAACAGAATAACCAACACAAGCATACCTGAAATCTGTTAGGCTTCTACCCGCTTTAGAAGCTTCCTCTTCTGATTGCCCAACTATATATCGAGGGACTGCTCCTCAGACGGGGAGAAATAATAACAAGAAATGGTTTAGAAAATTACTCAGTACCATACGCGTAAGCAGCAAAAAACAGAGTAAGAGAGAAATAAATAAATTGTTTGTCTTAATACTCCCTCTGTCCCCAAGTTGCAGTCTCACTTTCATATTGTTATGGTCATGGTTGGAATCTCATTCAAAGTCTAATACAGGAACAAAAGAGATTATACTATTATAGTATCTATTGTATGGGAGAGAGACAGAGAGAGAGAGAGTTCCGAAGAAACGCCTAAGACAGAGTTAACCAGTACCCGACCTAATCAAGACACACACCTGACACACGGATCCTCAGGAAATTTATTCCTCAATACTGATTATGCTAGCTTGTATAGTTACTACAAGAACCCTAATTAGTAATCACAACAAAAAGCATAAAATTTTAAGACTATTATAATAAGGAACCCAAATCGAGTACTACTAAATACTACGTAGTAATTACTAATAATAAAATAATACTACGGTAATAAGATAACTTCCTCGCAAAAAAAAAAGATAACTTCCACTATACTTTTATATGAGACACACTCACATCACATATTTCGTCCATCTCAAAACAAAAATTCTCCTGAATCCTGGTCTTTAAAGAAAAGAATGGTATAGTTCATACCAACAGATTTTGGCATTAAAGCATTGAAAACCAATTAAAACCACTTTATCTTAACATTCAAGAATAATCAAGGTCCTTTTTTTTCTGTTGCAGAAAAATAAAAGCTTGTAGATTATCTAAAGGGATCAAAATGGTAAATTTAGCATGAATTTACTAAAAAGATTAACTTGGAATGCGTGATAGTACGAAGTTCAGGAAAAAGAGTAACCTTGGGGTAGAGAACGAGTGATACCAACGCAGAGGGGATTCCGAGATTTGGACTGGAAGGCCGAAGAATAATATAAACATCCTTTGCAGGACTTTCCTTTGTTCTTGGAATATTGCGATGGAAACGATGACGCGGCGGACGAAGAAGCCGGTCCTTCAAACTCACCGTCTTTGGCTAGGTTTTCGCCGTTGTTTTTATCGCCGCCGCTGATGCGGCGGTTTGTAGTAGAGATCGTCTCAGCTCCGCCGCGCTGGTTCAGTTCAACATCTTCACCCATGACTACCCTCTCCTCGTCTACCGAATTGAATTAGGATTTTCTTTACTGGCGTGGCGTCGGGCGGTAGGTAAGCAGTTGTCAAAGTGTTTGTGATCCTTAAAAAAAGTGTTTGAGAAAATGTGTTTAATACTAAAAGTGTTTTGATTTTGAGAAAGAAGTATTTTTGAAAAAGTAAAAATGAATAGTGTTTGATAAAATAAGTTTTTTTTTGTATAATAAAAAAATGAAAAACAGTTTAAAGCATTTTTCTACTAGCTTCTACTTTTTAGCTTTAAAGTGTTTTTTTAAAGTACAGGTAGGTATTAGCAAACATTTTTTTAAATTATTTTAAGTTTTGTTGAAAGGAAAAAGCTTATATTAGAAATAAACGAGCCAAAGAAACATCAATGTCCTAAGCCAAGATTCTCCCTCTACCCCAACAAAACCAAAAGCCCATTGACCCCCTCATGACATTATCAGATATAGAATAGTCCACTCTGTGAAGAGTGAGACTAATCGCTGAATCGATAAGAGCATAGAGGCTATTAGCGACTGTATCATCCTGATTGCCTCCAACAAAAAACACTCTTATCAAACCACCCCAGTACTCAAAACCGAGTCCCTTATCGAAAGCGAAAATAAAAAAGCAACAATAAACTGAATCCTTATTAAGAATTAATAAGGATTCTTATTAAGAATCCTTATTAAGAATTAAAAAACACCTAAAGTAAAAGTGCATGTGAATAGGTGATGGAGTTTGCATGCTTCCACCCCTCATGATACCACTTTCTCATCCTTCAGTTGCCTGACACGCGAGCATTGTGGCCCGTCTTCTCCCCGTTTTTTAATGTTCCTGTCTCCACTTCCATTTCCTTGTGATGTGGCTCTTCCTCCCCATGCTCAATTCTCCGACGCTTTTGTTCCAGCTTATCTCCCACATACGTATTCTCCTTCCCCTGCTGTTGTCCTCTCTGCTCATCCAAATTTCTCATCTCCGCTCCTCCCTCAGCCTCTTTTCCTTTCCCTTTACCATCTAGGACTAACCATCTATTCCCCCCTCTTTCACATATCCCTTAGAAGCTCACAGTTCGGGACCAAAAGGTAGTCCTCCATTTCTGCCTGTACCCTCTGGATAGTGCGGGCAATACCTTTCTGCATGACCAATAATGCCGCAGGCATAACAGAAGCTAGGCACTAGGCAATTTTTTATACCTAAATTTAACGCAAAAAAATTCTCATTCATCTGTTTTGAGGAACAATTTCCTTTTCAGAGGTTTGTTCAATCAACACTAACTCTTATTCTCATATAAGGATTCCATTTGACAACAAAGTTTTTTTTCGTCCACTTTAATAAATTTCCCCACAAAATTCCCAATTTTTATGGCATTTTTCACAGAAAAATATCCCACCGGCACATCATGCACCTGTAACCAAAAGTCGACCTTATTCAGAGGCATCGCCATAGGCAAGTCTCATTGTTTTAGCCTAGCGAGTACAATTAGGTTCTGGTCGAAAGTCCATGGTCCTTCCTCCAGAACTCGAAGCATATCACTTTCCCTGTAGAATTGGAACATATATCTTCATGCACCTGACTCATTAATCGTAACACCTCTAACAGGTTTCCACACATTTGCCATTGTATCACGAAAAAATGAGAAGCGTACTGATTTTTTTAGAAGTAATCGTCCCTACCAAAGACATACCCACCTCTTCGATCCCCGGGTCCGCACCATCCACTTGTAGAAATTCATCTCCTTCCTCCATCTCCATATTGCCATATGTATTGGCAAGCTTGTCAATCTCTTCATAGCCATTCATATCCGTCATCGTCCTTTCAAACCCTTCGTCCGTACGTGTTCATTCCTTTTACGTCGTCTCCTTCTCTTGCGAAAACCAGCGGCGTTGAGCGTTGCACGTCCACACCAGAGCTCTGCAGACTACCTGCGTGAGAAGCTTGTGCCTTGATGGAGATTCTACGCCTGACTGTGAAAACAAAACGCCGAGCGATTGGGAAATCGCCGGCCCCAAAGCTAAAAACGCAGACTAACCCTAGGTGCGGCGTTCATTATTTCAAGTTAAAAGGTGTAAAGTGTTTATTTTAAGTGTTGACAAACGCTCCTCTAATTTGTCACAAATAACTCCCTTATCTAATTGTTGAAATGAAATGGTTGAATACAGAGTAGCATGTAAAATTGGCCTATTTTAAATCTTATGAATATTACAAATTCAAAAAATAAAAATTTCACTTGTTTTAAAAGTTTCAAAAAATTGGTTATTCTTATCATTAATCATGAATATCATTTATGCAATACTACATTTTTTTTTTGATTTTCCATGTTTATAATTAATTAATTAATACTCTCTCTATTCTTTAATAACCTTATTTTATTCCATTTTGATATGTTTTTTTATTAATTCTCCTTCTTTCTATTTTAGGAAAGTTTTTGAGATAAATATCTCACTTTTATTACTTTTACTCCGTACTTCTTACATTCTACTTTCTTTTTCCTACTTTATCATTTCTTTACCCTTCTTAATATACTCTATTTCCTACTTTATCATCATTTTACTCTTCTTAATATACTCTTTTCTACTTTATCATCTACCATACACACTCTATATGACTCCTACTATTTTCTGTTAAAACTCGTGCTCAAGCCTAAAGCGACAATTAATAAAGAACGGAGGGAGTACTTCATAATTAATCTATATAGTTCAACCACCCTCAGCACGCAGCAACCACTAACAATATTTCCGCCACCACCAATACTGCCGCTAGCACCCCGCCACCGCTCACACATCACCAATGCTACTAATAACCATGAAATCACTAATTTAAATCTCTTAAGAGAGTACATAATTGATTAGCTCATTAGTGGTTCTATTGATAATTACTAACTTTATTGAAACTCATATTTGGTTACATGCATGAAAAATTCTTAGTGTACATGAGTTATACACAAAGTGTACACAAAATCTCCATAGTTGTCCGTGTACACAGATAATTCATTAGAAAAGATGCATGATTTGATGCCAAAATCTCCTTAGTTGCTTGAGTAAAGAGACAATGTACAATTTGTGTACACATTTTGTGTACACCAAGAAACCATTAGTAAGAAATCAAAAACTTGCATGCTTTACAATAGTAGGAACACCTTTACCTTCTCAATATACTCCATATTTGTTTTAGAAGATTAAGCGCCTGAAGGATGACACGTTGTTCTCCTATCACACCAACTACTACACTAAATGTTTTTCACATATTATATCAAACCTAGTTTCTTCATATAATGTGATGATTCCTTTTCACATTTCGTGATTTACGTTTCTATTTCCAAAATAAATTTCATTTTCGTTGTATGATGAAAAAAGTATTCATAGTGTTAGTATTTATCTCTTCTCAACTTAACTCTCAATCACATAATATCCACACTATTAATATATGTGCAAAGTGAAGATGATACTTAATTTTAAGGAGAAAGAAGTGAGTGATTTGAATTACCTTTTCTGAACACAAAAGTGAGGTAAAATTTAGCATGATTTGAAAGAATTAAGTGATTTGAATTACCTTTTCTGAAGACAAAAGTGAGGTAAAATTTAGCATGATTTGAGTTGTCATTTGTACTTGAAATTGGGGATATATTTGGTCCAATTTTGACTTCAAATTTCGAATTGCAATACTATAAAAAGGAAACAATCGACATAGAAAAAGTAAACTAACATGTTACAATAACAAAGTGAAAGGTAAATATCCAATTAAACAATAAACATCACAACCTAATCACCTTTCGTGGACTAATGAGGATATTAGTAATTAGATTTTTCCGTTAAATTTGGTTTCAAAAAGGCAAATATAGAGAAAATTTAGAGAGCACGCTAGCATGCTCGCCAAGGAGCATGTTGGCGTGATGAATGGCTAAAGTTCATTCATATAAAATATGTAGAGAACTCCGACCATTCATCACGTCATCGTGCTCCTTAGTGAGCACGCTAGCGTGCTCCTTAAATCTACTTGAACATTTGCTCAATTAAATTTTTAGATTCAGTCTAATTTTCCGATTCAATGTAATTTGATTATGGTGTGTTTTTGAGATTTAAAATATAGTTTTTACTTTTTTATTTTTTACATAAATAATACTAATGAATAATTTGTGGACAAAAATATGACTTCCAAAAAACTGAATAAATGACAACTATGCTCAAGTCACTTGAAGTGATAAGCTTCCATTAACGAGTGGAAATTCGGGTGACCTTCTATCACGCTTCAGACCGCATCTAAGCGCGTGTACAACTGCCGTATGATCAAGTGACGTCACTCGTAAGTCAACATCACTTAATCATACAAGTCGTCCATGAACATAGTTCATACCATACTCAGTAAGTAAACATACTTAACAACATCACAAATTTGGATTGAATGAATAGCGGAAATATTCAATATTCAATCATGGGCCACACATGGCCAAAACGTGGGCTCGCAGGCCCAAAATAATGTATTCATTACATAAATATTCATGAGCATAGTTTGTAGTTTAAAACAGTAAAGGAAGCACGAACCACGTCTTCCTTTGGATCACTTCATCGAGCAAGGTGCGGATAGCTAGCTTTTAGCTTCAACCTCAAATGGTAGGCCCCCCGAAGGGGTCAGTACGCGAATAACGAGCGAGCAGTAGGCTGAATGTAGTATAACTACCGTTTCAAGTATAAGACCCAAACATAAGGTGATACATACACATATATTCCTTCCCCCCAAGTTATAAAATACATATCAGTATATATATACACTTGGAAATACCTGACCCGTAGGTCATTGTTTATTTGGGAAAATAGTAGTAGTCAATGTCCTTGACTTAAAATCCCAATCCACCCATATATCTATGAGTGTGCATAGGACTCCTCCTCGTCCAAATCAAGTACCATAAGGATACCGCCCGATCTTGAATTACTAAACTTTAATCTGTGAGTTTTGAGGATACATGTCCGATCCTTGGGTACTCCACCCACCTAACCAAGTTTTGAGGATACATGCTCGATCCTTGGGTACTCAACCCTTCATAACCAAGTTTTGATGATACACGCCCGATCTTTGGGTACTCAACCCTTCATAACTGAGTTTTTTAGGATACACGCCCGATCCTTGGGTACTCAACCCTTCTAACCGAATTTTGAGGATACACGTTCGATCCTTGGGTACTCAACCCGACAACCCTTCATAACTGAGTTTTTAGGATACACGTCTGATCCATGGGTACTCTACCCGACCTATGATCTACCTTATATCATACTAGATAGAGTCTATATCATAATCAATAATCAAGGCTAAACCAAGTCTTAGGCCTAAACAACATCATCCATGCAAACCATGCATTAAAAATCAACATACGGGCAAGACAGCACCAAACCGGCGCCGGTTCAGACCTAACCGACGTCGGTTCATAATTAATAATAATAAACCGGGCACCCCGTACCCAAACCGGCGCCGGTTTCCCCCTGGGCAACCGGTCAACGTTTCGTTGACCTGCCATTTCAAGTCCAATTCGTGTCAAACTTAATCACAACGTGTATTAAGTTATAAACAACCATTTTATGCCTTGTCCCCTTCAAAACATCACATATGTTTTATAAACATTTTCATATCATATTTCTTACATATCTCAATAGTTCATTTCATATAAGCCTAATCACATTGGTTAATCACATGTTTAAACTCTTTTAAACATCATTATGAACACATATAACATTTACTTAGGTTATCTCATGCTTAACCCAAGAGTTACAAGATATTAAGTCATTCACTCACCTCGAATGAGCTTTATGAAGTTCTACCCTTCTCGGTTGAACTCTGGCAAATCTCCGACGAACTTTGTTGAACTCCTCCGGTGACAACTCCGGTGACTCTTTCAACCCCGTGAAAGTACTAGGAACACCTTAGACAAGTTCCTAACAAGATTTTATCATTAAAAACCCCATATTAATACAAATAACCTCTAAAAGATTATTTTCCAGCGAATTGGTCACTTTGGCTTCTAAGTCCGTTCTTGGACATAAAACTACCTTCCAACCCCTCATTCTACACTTCTAAACATGTAGAACAATCCTAGGGATACTTCATATGACATAAAGGTCATATGAAGTTCAATGAGAGACGAAAAAGTTACTATTGAATCATTACCTTAATTATCCAAGCCTTTCCTCACTTTTTCCCTCTTTACACTTCCTTCTTGGACCTCTAATGCTTGAGCTCGAATTTGGGTGTGGAAATGGTGAAGTGTAGAGCTTCCTCTTGCTTTCCTTGTGTGCTTGGCCGAATGAATGGAGGTGGTGAAGTAAAGGGCTGGCAATATCAACCGCGCCCGCGGATACCCGTTCAACCCGAATCGAAAATATGGACGAAAACTCGAAGAAATATGAATGAAAAATGGATGACGGGTGGATTGAAAGACGGGTTGGATCGGGTGTGGATGAACACTCATCCAACCCATCACACGACCCGTCACCCGCTGACCCGCATATAAATATATATACATATATGATAATATCTATTTAATAATATATTATTAATAATAGTAATAATAATAATTAATATTAATATATTAACAGATACTACGTAACTACGGAGTAGCATTGTAGTGACTAAAATAGGAGCCCAGTCCTAATCCCGTTGAACTTCAAAAATAGTTTTTTGTTGATGCAGAAATGTAGAATTGACAACTCGAAGAATTTTTTTATCTATTTTGTTTGACATTTTATTGATATTTGAGAAAAAAGTACAATGCAAGGAAAGAAGAAAATCAAAACATGAAGATACAAGAAACCAAAGGAACCAACAATCAGTGTAAAGCGTGATGAATCTTTGATCTGATGCGAGTGCTCCTCCTCTTTATAATAGAAGCGGTTTTGGTCTCAGCCAACCTGTCCAAAAGTTCTTGGTTCGATGGAAGTCTTCTTGAAGGAGTGTTGAAGTCCTCGTTCGTGATATCTGATTCCTTAGGGTGTGAAGGGTCCTTCTCGATCATTTCTGGGAAAGAGTAATTATGTGCTTGAAGTTGAAGCAAATCTAGATCCTCATTAGCAATACCACCATTGTCTTCCATGATCTGTGGTTTGTTGGAATTGGCTGTCAATATATCTAAGTGAAAAAGATCTTTGGATATAGATGAAAAATGTTCCGTTGTCCGGTGATTTAAAATCGTCGGGTCCTCCTGCACAAAATTAACTAATCCAAGAAATCGTGTAAAATTTGTAAAAATGGCTAAAAAGTCTAGCAGACAAGATTTTTGTGGACCCATGGGAATATGGATGGAGCTCCCATTTTCCTTGGCAATTTTCAAGAATTTGCCCGATTTGCTGGTTTCAGAAGCCACCGTGATTCCTATTTTGTTTGACAATTAGTTCTTTATTTATCATCGGCACTGAATTAACGATTGTAATATACTTAATTGCTCAAGTTTTTGTAGTTATTTTTCAACGAGTTCTTAATTTTTGTCATGATTTCTCTTTATAATTTATTTATTTTGTCTTTCAAATTCGACCTTTTGTATTCACCCGTTACTTACCTGATCCACCCAATAACCCGTTCATGATGGATGGGTTGGATGTGGATGTAAATTTTAATAGATGATGGACGAGTGGGTGGACTATGAAAAATTAACGAGTGGACGACGGATGAGCCTTCACCCGGTATAAATCCGACCCGCTGTCACCCCTAGTGAGGTGAGAGGGATTGCCTTTGTCTCATTTGGGCAAATAAGTGAGGGGGAGGTCCACCTTGGGTCTATTCTCACCCAATAATACTTGGGAGTAGAATTTCCATCTCACATTGAAACTCCGTACCTCTTCTCTCCATTAAACAAATACAAGTTGTTTCTGTACATAATGACTTGCATTTTACTACACGTTTGTCAGGCGCAAACAATTGGTGTGCTTAGGGATGGATTGGGACGGGTCATCTCGACCCGGCCCCGGTATTGTTTAGGCCCAGCCCGATGGCTATAAGGGTGGACTTCAGGCTCAATTTTTTGGGCTCAGGCTTTGGCCGGATCCGAGCCTTGTTGCACAATTTTTTTAATTGAATGCCCAGTCCCGTCCCGAAGCCCATCCTGGTACTATTTGGCTCAGCCCGACCCGGTCCCGATACAACCTCGAGCTGGTACCGGGGCTGAAATCCTTAAGCCCGAAGTCCGTCCTGTCCCATTCCGATGCCCGGCCCGATCTCGTCTCAGTCCATCCATAGGTACGCTGACATATAAGACTATCTGTTCACACAAAGAACGGTTGTCTATACTCTATACACAAACAACTTTTGTATACAGCCCACAAACATTGATTGTGGAACCAAAGTACACTAACATGGGCACAAGAAATTTCTGGCTTGCAAATCAATATTTGTGACCTGTGACAATGTGGAACCAAAGTAGGGGTGGACTCGGGCCGGGTGGCCCAACCCGGAACCGGCCCAGAACCGGTACTGTGCCGGCCCGGCCCGACCCGGTGGCCCGGTCAGTGACCGATCCGGGTAGGCCCGATCCGTGGGTTTTTCGGTCCGGGCTCGGGTCACCCAAAACAAGGCCCGGTTCGGGCCAAAAATGATTTTTTTTTCAATTTTTTTAAATTTTCGGGTTGGACTGGGTATTTTGGGCCATTTGGGGTGGTTTGGGGGGTTGGGGTGGGAGGGGGGTTAATTAGGAAGAGGGAAAAAAATTTTGATAATAGGCCGGGCCCGGACCGAACCCAGTGGGTACCCGGGCCCGGACCGGACCCGGTGGGTACCCGGGCCGGTCCCGGACCCATCTATTCAGAACCGGCGGCCCGACCGGGCCTAGGCCCGGCCCGAGTCCAAGTCTAGACATTAGTTCTGTGTAACAAAATTATGGATTTTTCGGATAAATTTTATGACACGGATAATAGTTCCCCCTGTTCAAAGCAAACAATTATTGTGTAATCAATTTTAATTATCTGTGTGATCATTTTAAATATCTGTGTTAACAAAATTGTAATTGTTAATAGGCGCACAAACCAATTGTGTGGTTGTCTATGTGACCAACTTACATGTGATTTGAAGAAAAAAGTTGAAAGATGATAAAAAAGGATTTAAAGAAATAAAAAGGGATTTTGTGGAAGTAAAGAAAAAATAGAAATGTAAAGATGGAGAAGAGGAAAATAAAGAAAAAATAGAAATGAAAAGGTAGAGAAAAGGAAGATAAAATTGGGTATCCTAATGAGAACCAGTGGAGAGAGGAGAGGGGGAGGATAAGAGAGTGAAATGGGTATTTATATTGTGTATAAAAGTGTCAGAGAGGATACAAAATGAACTTTTCTAAACAAACATGAGACTATGAGAGTTGTGAGGGTGAGATTTGTACTCCCAATCCCATCCTTCAATTCCCATCAAACGAATACCTCCCAATGTGTAAATTTAAAGTGTGTCGGAAGATTACGCTATAAAAATTAAAAAAGGCTCTATATTTTCCAAAATGCTGCTCATTGTGATGCCGAACAAACTTTGTACCCAGATTGTTGTCCCACTTCCAAGTGCACAATGGTAACGCATTTATGTTACCAAAAACAGGCTATAAGTAAGGACAGATTGAGCTGAAAGAGTACTACTTCTAGTCAGTCGCAGGACCACAAACAGGATTGTATGCAAGGTCGAGCAAGCCTAGGATCCTTTGGGTAGTCCATAGGTAAGCAGAGTGTCCCTCAATTAATTCTGTCACATCAACCTGTCGAAATCAGGTGCATTAGAAATTTCACAGGTCATTTTTTAATTTTCTCATCAATTAAGGTTTTTCATTGTTCTACTTAAGCCCAGTCTGCTGATACTTCAAGGTGAAGAAGTCACTGTTTAATGCTTTTAAGTTTGAACTCTGATATACATGCGAAAGATTAAGCATTGTGGAGGAAGGGCATACGTGCGAAAGAATAAAATTTTATTGATTGTCTCCCTCGTTTTCTATTTAATGCTTTTAACTCCGATATACATATTTGCTCATGGTCTTACTATTCAACTAAAATGGAGTGGGGGTGTTGGGATCCATCCATAACTAAGAAGTTCTTTAAGAATTCTAAAACTCTGTGGAGATATGTAGACTTCTATACATGTATGTAGCAAAGCATAGAATCTTTCGAAGTACTCTAAAATTACCTGCAGAAAGTGTAGGAGTTTCAAGAACATAGAAGAGTAGAATATTGTAGAATATTTTAGATTTCTTTAGATAAGCATAAAATTCTTTAGAGCCATGAGTAAGTTTGTGCAAGCGTTACAAAATTTTAGAGAAGTGTGAAAATCTATAGGTCTCTCCCATAAAATTATGGGAAGTCTATGGACACTTCGGGAGATAGATGAGGGCAGTAGTCCCCTATTACTTATTGAAGGAAAGAAATGATTTGCATTTAAATCATAATATTGTGTTTAGCCGTTACAAATCCTTATCATTTAATAAGTATTATTATTTACCTTATATAGATGATTAGAATGTGTATATATCTCAGCCTTGTAAACCAGTTTGATAGATGTGAAGTATATTCAAAACATTCTTGCTCTCCTCTCTATTATGGTATCAGAGCCACTGAGCTCTAACCAGCCCTCCCTCCCTCCTCTATGACAACCAACGATGACAGCCAACCTGAGGTCCTCCGGCAAGGAGACCTCGACAATATTCCTATCAGTACACCTATCACTTCTACCACAATTTCCGCACCTCTCACACAAGATGGATTAATCCTGCTCAATCCCAGCCATTTCCCAGAAAAGCTAGATGGTTCGAATTACCTTGTATGGCGAGATCAGATTCTGGATCTTCTTTTTGGGTCTCACCTTGATCAATACATATATGATGATGCTGCCCCGCCACCCTCAAGCGATGTCGTTGGCCATCTCTGATGGACTAGGCAAGACCGACTCATCCAACGCCCTCATCGCTTCTCTAAGTTCGGCCTGTAAACCTCTAGTCGGATCCTCTCGCACATCTGCAGCAGTCTGGAAGACTCTTGAAGACCTCTATGGGACTCGTTCGCCATCTCAGATTCGCAACATGAAAGATATCTTCGGTCACACCAAACAAGGCTCTCAATCAGTGGGGGCGTATCTCCATCACCTGCGCACGCTCGCCAATGAATTGGCTCAGGCCGGGCGCCCTGTAGACGACGAAGATTTCGTCATTCAAGCTCTAGAGGGACTCCGACCCGAGTTCGAATCCTTTGCGCACTCTGTTCGTACCTGCGCCGATAGCCGGTTCAAGACCATCTATACTCTGCTCACGGGCTTCGAAGACTCCATGAAGCGGAAAGAAGTTTTGAGCTCCTCCGTTGATGTAGTGACGGCTAATAACGTAACTACTGGAGAGCCTGTAGCACTTGCGGCTCGCAGAGGAGATCCAGCACCGTCCATTTTGGGCCCAGGACCGCTGGCCCAAATTCAGCAGCAGCCCAATCGTACAACTTATCCTGGCCGCAACTCTAATCGGAATCCACCCAGAACTCAGAGGCCCAATACTAATTACAATCCCAACCGACGTGGAAATAATAATTTTGGGGGCCCTACTAGCAACCAGGCAGCCCGCAACAGCCCGAGGAATAGTAATTTTGGGCCTAATATTACATGTCAAATTTGTGGGAAACCAAACCATTCTGCTCTCAATTGTTGGCATCGATTTGAACAACAAGCTTACCCTCCTCAAGTCAATACGGTTGTCACTAGGCACAATGGTTGGCTACTTGATTCTGGAGCAACCAATCATGTCACCAACAACCTGAATAATCTTACCTTGACATCCGATTATACTGGCACTGACTCTCACGTTATTGGTAATGGTAAAGGTCTTGCGATAGCACAAGTTGGGCATATGACCCTTCACTCTCTTTCTCTACCTAATACCCTTTTTGTCCCTTCTATTCATACCAATTTAATTTTTGTTGCCAAATTATGCCGTGATAATGACGTACTAATTGAATTTCATTCTTCCTTTTGTCTTATTAAGGACCGGCGAACGGGAGCAATTTTGTTACGGGGTATGAATAAAGGAGACGTTTACAGCTTACCAGATGTACCCCCTCCACCATCTCCATCTGCTCACATCACACAAAAATATTCCCTTAATAATTGGCATTGTCGTTTAGGACATCTTGCCCTCCCTATCACTAAAAAAATTCTCTCTTCCTTAGGTATTTCTTTTTCCGATGTTACTGCTAATAATTCTCTATGTGTCTCGTGTGCTAGTAATAAAAGCCATAAGCTGCCATTTGCAAAATCCTCTCTTTTCAGCTTTGGACCTCTAGATTTAATTTATACAGATATTTGGGGTCCCGCTCGTGTTAATTCTGTTGATGGCTTTCGTTACTATGTTATCTTTGTTGATCATTATACCAAATATATTTGGTTTTATCCTATGACTCATAAAAGTGAGGTCACTCCACTCTTTCAACAGTTTAAAAAGATTGTCGAAAACTTTTTTCAACGCACAATTAAAACAGTTTATCCTGATGGGGGAGGCGAATACATCACCTTAGGAAAATTCCTAAGCACATGTGGTATTTCTCATTTATTTACGCCTCCCTACACTCCCGAGCACAATGGCTTTACTGAACGTCGGCATCGTCACATTGTGGAAACAGGTATCACCCTCCTTCACCATGCATCAATGCCTCTTAAATATTGGTCCTATGCCTTTCTAACAGCAGTCTATCTCATTAATAGACAACCCGCCCTCTCTCTTAACTTTTGCACTCCATATGAAAAACTCTTCCAACAACCTCCTAATTATACTAAACTTGCTGGGTGCCAATGTTTTCCTTGGTTACGTCCTTATACCACTCATAAATTAGAACCACGCTCTAAACCGTGTGTTTTCCTGGGGTATTGTGACCAACAAAGTGCCTATCGTTGTCTTGATCTTACCACCAACCGTATCTTTGTCAGCAGGCATGTTGTGTTTGATGAGTCAGTCTTCCCTTTTTCTACACTCTCACCACCCGTCTCAAATATCAATTCTGAAGTTGATCACTGGCTTCAACCTTTTATGTCTTATCTTCCCATTTCAGGTACTCTGGTCGCAGGGGCGTCTCCTCTTACTCATACCTCACCTCAACAATTGACTCTTGACACGTCACCCGCTACCTCCACCCAAAGTGATATACAGCTTTCTCCCCTCCCTAAACCCACACCACCACAAATTATTACTTACCAACGCTGACCCAAACTTAATCCTCCTATCCCCACCCCTCATCTACCCACCACCACTGATCTTATTACCTCAAACCCACCCCTTGATACTCCACCACCCAAACGTACCCATCCGATGACCTTTCGACCCCGTACACAGGCCAATATTGTCACTAATGTTCCTTTACCTCACCATATAATTCCAACTTGTGCTTCTCAAGCTATGCAGGTACCAGAATGGCGGAGTGCTATGACAGTAGAATTTGATGCCTTGGTTCGACAGGGCACTTGGGATCTTGTTCCCGCTCAACCTGGTCAGAATATTGTGGGTTGTAAATGGGTCTATACTGTGAAGTATAAACCGGATGGCTCCTTGGATCGCTATAAGGCCCGATTAGTGGCTAAAGGGTTTCATCAACGCCCTGGGATTGATTATTCTGATACCTTCAGCCCGGTCATCAAACCGGTCACTATTCGCATTGTCTTGACTATTGCTCTTTCTCATAGTTGGCCGATACATCAGTTAGATGTCAATAACGCATTCCTACATGGGAATCTTCAGGAGGAAGTTTACATGAAGCAACCTCATGGCTTTAATGATGGTTCTGGGTTTGTTTGTCGTCTTCGGAAATCTATTTATGGCCTTAAGCAGGCGCCTCGGGTGTGGTATCAATCTCTTAGTGGCTTTCTTCTATCACTTGGGTTTTATCAATCTGTTGCTGATGCCAGTCTGTTCATCTTTTCCTCCCATCCATCTTACATCTATGTATTGGTTTATGTGGATGACATTATTGTTACTGGCTCTACACCAGATTTGATGCGTCATACTATTGATTCCTTGGCCCACCGGTTCTCCATCAAGAATTTAGGAGCCTTACACTATTTCTTGGGCATGCAGGTTACTCCTACACAGGGTGGACTCTTTCTTGATCAACACAAATATATTATGGACTTATTAAAACTATTAAAAATGGATGAGGCTAATCCTGTGGCTACACCTTTAGCTCCCTCTGCTTCATTAACTTTGTTTGACAGTTCAGGCTCTTGTGATGTCACTCTTTATCGCCAGGTCCTCGGGTCACTTCAGTATTTGAATCTTACCCGCCCAGATGCTGCCTTTGCTATTAACAAACTGGCTCAATTCATGCATAAACCTACGATTAATCACTGGCAGCTTCTCAAACGTCTTTTGCGCTATCTGCAGGGCACTGCCTCTCATGGACTCCTTCTTTGTCGCAACACATCACCCTCGCTCCGTGCCTTTGCAAATGCTGACTGGGCGGGGAATCCTGATGACCGTTCGTCTACTAGCGCATATGCCATTTTTCTCGGGGAGTCCCTTATATCTTGGAAATCAGTTAAGCAGCGCACTATTGCTAAGTCTTCCACGGAAGCTGAATATCGAGCTCTTTCCACGGCTGCCTCTGAAATAATTTGGATTGAATCTCTTTTGCGTGAGTTGCGGCACCCGCTCCTTTCTCCTCCACTCCTCCTTTGTGATAACAAAGGTGCCACTACTTCTTCAGCAAATCCTGTCTTCCACTCTCACATGAAACATGTGGCTATTGACTTTCATTTTGTTCGGCAGCGGGTTCAACGTGGACTTCTTCAAGTTCATCATATTCCATCTTCTGATCAGATAGCTGATGCCCTCACCAAACCACTTCCCCGACAACGCTTCATCCTTCTTAGAGACAAGCTCAGGATTCTTGGCAGTGACAGAATACCTGGCTTGCGGGGGCGTATTGAAGGAAAGAAATGATTTGCATTTAAATCATAATATTGTGTTTAACCGTTACAAATCCTTGTCATTTAATAAGTATTATTATTTACCTTATATAGATTATTAGAATGTGTATAAATCTCAGCCTTGTAAACCAGTTTGATAGATGTGAAATATATTCAAAACATTCTTGCTCTCCTCTCTATTATTACTGATCAAGCAACTTGCAGAAAACTTCTAAACAAATGATCGTGAATCCTAGAGATGATGAGATCCTTCTAGCAATAAGAGAGACAATCCAATGATGTCTCTTGAAATGACACAATCCAAGATGGCTTATTTAGTTATTCTCAACTCTCATATTTGTTACCGAGTGATGTAGGGTGAATTCACAAATAGTCAAATACAAGTAAAATAAAGCGAGCACATACAAGTATATTGCTTCACTTTTTTATAATACAGTCATTTTATAATTTTGTGTTACAAAATGTGTGAGAGTACAAGAAAATGTCCGAGCTTGTGATTACGGAGATGTCGTTTTTTTGTTCAAACTCGTTTTATCTATTTCCTAATAAGAACTATGAAGTCTAAAAATATGTAAAACTTTGAAAACATTAATCTTAGCTCATTTGCCTTTGCATTGTGAAGGTAAAACCAGTTATAAGAAAATAACTTGGCATACCATTAAAGTAACACAGGCAGCAAAGATAATGTGTTGATAAATGCATTTCTGTAAACTTCATGACTTACATTCTCAATGCCATCCACTTCAACTGGTTGAATCCCAGCAAGTCCTTGACTCATCAGGCTGTTTAAGAATTGAAACAACAACAAATTATTAAATGGAGAGATGGGATGATATTCTTCGCTTTACGAACTCTACATTTATTTGTGGGGAAGTTTGCTACTGACACCACAAGTTTATCCGAATTTTCAACTCTGCAATCTAGTTTTATTTTCTGATTTCGCACCCTACAATATTGGGGTAAACATGGTGTGCTAATGCCAATATTTATATGAAACTTTGCACATGTTTATATGTTACGGATTCCTTATTATTAGAGGACTCTTCCTCTTATTTCTTATTACTTATTTACGTTATTATTATTGTTCTGAGTAGACTAGTCCGTATTGGACTTGTTCTGCAAGTTAGATAAGTCCCAATAGGATTCTTATTTGGCTAAGGTGCTTCTGCGCACCTATAAATGTATGGCTCGGCCAAGTTGTTAAACAGATAATAATAAATAATATTTCTTGAATAGTAAATTACATGGTATCAGAGCCTGCACTCAATTGAGCATAAATATGACGGAAGCATGGCCAACGATAAAGATAGCAGCGACAGTGATGATGCTGAAACTGCTCCAAAGAAGATAGATCACACTTCGCCTTTCTTCCTCGGACCACAAGACTGACCCGGAGATTAATGTACAGAAGACGACTGGATGACCATACATTCCATGCTCGTTTCTTGGTTAATGAACACTATTGCACCAGAAGTTCGACGCACACTTTCTCAATATGAGGATGCCAAGCTTCTGTGGGACGATCTAAAAGAAAGATTTGCCGTTGTTGATGGACCAAAAATTCATCAACTGGAGGTGAATATAGCAAGAAGCGAGCAGAATACGTCCATGACCGTAGGAAATTATTACGGTCAGTTAAAGGTCTGGGGGACGAACTTAACAATTACGAACCTTTGCTAACGTGCAAGTGTGGTAAATGTACGTGCAAACTTGGTGACAGCATGCTAAACGAAGGGAAAACGAAAGGTTTCATCAATTCTTGATGGGACTTTCGTCGGAATTATATGGACAGATACGGTCAATGCTGCTTGCTCAAGTACCGTTGCCCAACTTGAATAGAGCTTATCACCAGGTTGTTCAAGAAGAAAGGGTACGTGGAACCGTGCAACGAAAGGAAGAGAAGCCAGACATTATGAGCTTTGCAACTAATACACAGAACTGCAGTCCAGGAAAGGCGGTGAAGAATGACAAATCAGGCCTGGTATGTACTCATTGTAAATTTCCAGGCCATGAGGTGACTGGTTGTTTTCAGCTCATCGGTTACCCCGAATAGTGGGGAGATCACCCATGAGGAAATAATAAGAACGCAGGAAAGGGAAAAACGGTTGTTGGAAGAGGGAATACGTCTGTGAAGGCACATGCAACGGCAACAACTGAGCAGTCTGGACAAGTTGCTCCAGATCAACGGAGTAACACTCAAATTCCTTCGCTTGCCCTTCTGAGCTTTACTGCTGAACAGTGGAAAGCATTGACAGCAGCTTTCGGTAATCCAAACTCTCGTATGACAGGTAAATTTAATCCTTCTTTGTGGATACTTGATACCGGGGCCATGAATCATGTCACTGGTAATATTGAGTATTTAACAAATGTGACCACTGTTCGAGATTATCCTGTAAATCCGCTGATTTATGGCACAAATGAATGGGAAACCCTTCAAAGCATGTACTCAAAACTATTCCTTTTGTTACAGAACATGTTACTTAACCCTGTGATGTTTGTTTTCGTGCTAAACAAACTCGTGATTCTTTTACTTCAAGTAATAATAAAGCTTCAGCTATGTTTGATTTGGTTCATTTGGATTTGTGGGGACCTTATCAAACTGTTCTACTAGTGGTGCTAAAAGTTTTCTCACAATTGTTGATGATTTCTCTTGTGTCGTTTGGATTTATCTGTTGATTGATAAAAAGGAAGTGTATGCACAACTCATGTCTTTTATTGCTATGATGAAATGTCAACTTTCTAAGCAAATACAACGTGTACGAAGTGATAATGGAACTGAGTTTTTGGGTCTTAAAAATGTTTTCATCATCACGGAATTGTTTTTTAAACTTCTTGTGTGGGGACGCCGCAGCAAAACGGGAAGGTGGAACGTGAACACAGACATATTTTAAATATTGCGCGTGCTTTGCGTTTCCAAGGAAGTTTGCCTATACAATTCTGGGGAGAGTGTATATTGACTGCTGGATATTTAATCAATTGAACTCCTTCGAAAATATTAGATGGAAAAACTCCTTTTGAGATGTTGTATAATCAAGCCCCCAGTTATGATCATTTTCGGGTTTTTGGTTGTTTATGTTATGTACATAATCAACGAGCAAAGGGTGACAAGTTTGCTTCCAGGAGTCGTAAATGTATTTTTTTGGATTATCCTTTTGGGAAAAAAGGTTGGAGATTGTTTGACTTGGAAACTTCAGAAATATTTGTTTCACGTGATGTTAAGTTTTTTGAAGAAATATTAGCTTTTTCTGACTCTGGTGCACGGTCTACACCGGATATTTCCTTGGATAATACTTTGCCTATTTCCTTCAATGATGTGTTTGAGCTGACCCACGACACCACTTCCCATCCAGAGGTATCTTGTTCTAAACCTCCTAGTGCTCCTAGAGTACCTGTCAGTGCTGAATCGCTGAATCACCCACTACAGAAGAAACCCATGCTCCGCCAGATTCACCTCCGGTTGAAGTTCAACTTCGGCGTAGTGAACGCCCAAAGTTGCCATCTGTAAAGCTAAAGGATTACGTGACCCACATTGTACTTCCTCAACGTCTATCTCCTTCTCACTCGAACCAGCAGTTGTCCTCAGGTAATCCTTTGACCTTTCCCTATAACACATTATATTACGTGTGAACAGTTTTCTTCCAAACATGTGCAGTTTCTAGCTGCTGTTACCAGTGGTTGAGAGCCACGTAGCTTTCGCAAAGCCATGAATGATCCAGGCTAGTGCCAAGCCATGCAAACTGAAATTAAAGCATTGGAATATAATGGCACATGGGAGTTGACCGTTCTTCCTTCTGGAAAGAAAGCTTTGGGGAGCTAGTGGGTATACAAAATAAAATACCATGCTGATGGAAGCATTGAACGTCTTAAAGCTCGTTTGGTGGTACTGGGAAATCATCATGTAAAAGGAATTGATTACAATGAGACGTTTGCTCCAGTTGCTAAATTAGTTAATGTTCGTGCTTTTTTGGCTGCTGTTGTGACTAAGAACTGGGAACTACATCAGATGGACGTTCACAATGCGTTTTTGCATGGTGATTTGGACGAAGAGGTGTACATGAAATGTCCTTCTGAATTTTCGGTCTCCTCTAATCAGGTTTGTCGCTTACGTAAATCTCTCTATGGATTAAAACAGGCCCCTCGATGCTGGTTAGCAAAATTGGTTGCTGCACTTCGTGCGTATGGGTTTGTTCAATCTTGTGCTGACTATTCACTTTTTACGTGTTCCCGGGGTATGACACAATTAAATGTGCTAGTTTATGTGGATGATTTGATTATTTCTGGAAATAATTCTACCACAATTTCCATGTTTAAAAATTATTTGCATGCATGGTCTTTCACATGAAAGATCATGGTGTGCTCAAATATTTTTTGGGAATTGAAGTTGCTCGTAGCCCCGATGGATTATTTCTTAGTCAACGTAAATATACGTTGGATATTATCACTAAAACAGGTCTGCTTGGTGCAAAACCCGCTACCACGCCAATTGACACCAATCATTGTTTGGCTCGTTCCACGAGTGACTTTCATGATGATCCGCTTCCGTATAGACGCTTACTAGGTCATCTTATTTATTTAGCCGTGACACGGCATGATTTATCGTATTCTATTCATCTATTATCTCAGTTTATGCAGATCCCTAGAACGGATCATTGGATGGCAGCTCTACACATTGTTCAGACAGTGCACTTTCTCTTACTGGTTGGTGCGATTCCGATTGGGCTGCTTATCCCATGACTCGCGGGTCTATTTCAGGTTGGATTGTTTTCTTGGAGCATTCTCCTGTTTCATGGAAAACCAAGAAACAAGTCACGGTTGTCGTTCTTCGGCAGAAGCTGAATATCGATCTATGGCTGCAGCTACCTGTGAATTGAAGTGGGTCAAAGCCTTACTCTTGAGTTTGGGTGTTCATCATCCCAGACTATTCCTCTATCATGCGATAGTCAGTTCGCTCTTCATATTGCTCAGAATCCAGTTTTTCATGAACGTACTAAGCACATTGAAATGGACTCGCACTTTGTTCGTGATTCCCACAACTTTTTAGCTTGGCGATATTTTTACCAGAGCATTGGGAAGAAACAATTCCATTTTTTATTCCGCAAGTTGGGCATTTGCAACCTCCATGCTCCAACTTGAGGGGGGTGTTACGAATTCTTTATTATTAGAGGACTCTTCCTCTTATTTCTTATTACTTATTTACGTTATTATTATTGGTCTGAGTAGACTAGTCCGTATTGGACTTGTTCTGCAAGTTAGATAAGTCCCAATAGGATTCTTATTTGGCTAAGGTGCTTCTGCGCACCTATAAATGTATGGCTCGACCAAGTTGTTAAACAGATAATACTCCGTAATAGATAATATTTCTTGAATAGTAAATTACATTATATGAATATTTGATTTTTTACCCCACTTGGCACTCAGAATGCAAAGCCAAGAAGAACAAAACACATGCAAAATCAAATATCAGGGAAAGAGAATAAAACACATGCAAACCCTTAATTTTCAGATGAGTTGCTATAAGATCGACGCATAACCTGGCACGATATACGATTCCAAGCATCCAATCATTTGTAGAATAAGCATTGACAAACCTCCCAGCCACCACCTGCAAAAAAACAGAATGGCTCATCAATAATACTGTGGCAAGGAGGAACATGAATAATTTACAATATCTGGAAAGCGTTTAAAGTAGTTGACCACTTGAACTAGTGAGATGAGAAGTTTAGAGGGCCAATGGTCAGGTCAGCGGTCGGCTTGAGGTGGAGTCCTTTTTATATAATTAGTATAGAATATGTAACATATAATCACATTAAAAAACACTAAATATGAATTATTCAGTTACAGGGCCATCGTTGTAAGGCATGCAAGAAGTGCATCACAGGGCCTCCTAATTTAGTAGGCCCAAAGTTTTAAATAATATAGTTTACATAATATACAAAAGCTACTTTTTGTTTTAATAAGAAAAAACTATTTTAATGTTTTATTTTGGAAAATATGAATATGGTAAATTTTCAAAAGTACTTATAGATAAAAATGTAAATAGCTTTTATTACACAAGATCTAACTTCTTTTAAATTAGCACAGGGCCTACTAAATATCAAAACAGCCTTGTTTAGTTACTAACTACTCCGTAGTCCATAGTAAATACTTCTCTGCACTTAAAAACAGACATGTTTTAGTGTCCCAAAAAGACTTATTTATCAACAAAATAACTTTTCCACGTATTTTGCCCAAAGAAGCTACAAACAAGTTAAATGTGAGAAATTTAGTTAAAACCAACAAATAAGTGGATTTCAAAATTTACATACCTTCAAAGTTGTACTTCATCAAAATATAAAAACTGTATCTTAATTCTTGACAAAAAAAAGACTTTTTTTGGGGACAGAGGATTATTCAAAGTGATATTTATCTTTCTAAATGCTTTGGGATATGATGAGACTTATGTCTTCGTCCACAAGCTCTATGATTCTTTTTTACAGAAAAGTGGTCCAGTCTTGTACTCCGTGACCGGTTCACCAAACGGTCTGTCCCATTCATCTTTTCTGAATATATTGAGAAAATACATAAATCAGAAACTAAAACCTTTCTGGCTGCTTCCCAGCTCACGGTAGAAATTTCAATGGGTGCACCTAGAAGAACAACTCGTTCCACAAGCCCGGCTGCAAAAGTTTAATAATAACATATTACAAAAGTAAAAGTGGAATGGTAGTATATTATTTACGCATGATGATGTATGTGTCCATCCATGCCATATATACGCATGATGCTTAAGGCCGTAGCTAAAAGTTAGGAGAAGAAAAGGTAAGCAATTAATGACTAATATTCTATGCCTAAAATAACTATGCTACGTACGTACATGGAAAAGTGTTACAAAATAAAATGTTACAAGGTAAATCAATAATAATATATTCAATAATAATATCCAACACCCTCCCTCAAGATGGAGCATGGGGATCACAAATGCCCATCTTGGCAAGTAGATGAGAAAATTGTTGAGCCCCAAGTGCTTTGGTGAGTAGGTCCGCAGGCTGTTCAGTGGATGGTGTATACGAAGGAGTAATAGTTCCGGCCTGAATATGATCCCGAATAAAATGACAATCAAGTTCTATGTGTTTGGTGCGTTCATGATACACAGGGTTGGAGGCAATATGTAGGGCGGCTTGATTGTCACAATAGAGGCGCACCGGTGTGGAATGGATGACACCCAATGAGCGAAGTAGATTACGTAGCCAGATAAGTTCACAAGTCAATGTGGCCATTGCACGGTATTCCGCCTCTGCTGAAGAGCGTGAGACAGTCGCTTGTTTTTTAGTGCGCCAGGAGATGGGAGAATCTCCAAGTGAAACAAAGTATCCAGTGACAGAGCGACGTGTGAGCGGACAGGTCGCCCAATCAGCATCACAAAAACCCGTGAGAGAGAGAGTAGAATCAGACCGCAACAAAATGTCTTGACCCGGGTGACCCTTCAAATATTTTAATACACGCAGTACTGCTTCCCAGTGAGCCACCCTTGGACGTTGCATAAATTGGGAAAGGATATGAACAGAATAGCTAATGTCGGGTCTAGTCAATGTGAGATAAATAAGTTTCCCAACTAGCCTTCGATATTGATCCGGATCAGAAAAATAGGGCCCAATGTCAGACTGCAAGCCGTGGTTTTGGACCATCGGAAAAGAAACCGGCTTTGCTCCAGACAAACTTGTTTCAGCTAAAATGTCTAGCACGTATTTACGTTGGCATAGGAAAATTCCAGTGGGATTTCTGGCAACCTCAATTCCCAGAAAATATTTCATAACCCCCAAATCTTTTACTGGAAAGGAAGCCGCAAGGTAATTCTTAAATTCCCGGATCATATTTCCGTCGTTTCCGGTAATGAGCAAGTCATCCACATAAACCAACACACATAATATCCGATTTTCTCTCCGTAGAGTGAAGAGCGAATAATCGGCATGTGACTGGCAGAACCCATATGCCCGTAAGGAAGCACTCAGTTTGGAAAACCAACAACGGGGTGCCTGCCTGAGCCCGTAAAGAGAGCGAAGTAAGCGGCATACCTTGCCAGAAGAGGAGGCCGTATACCCCGGAGGCAAGTGCATATATACTTCTTCACGAAGATCCCCATGTAAGAAAGCATTATCCACGTCCATTTGATGTAGTTCCCAATGACATGAGGCGGCAACCGCTAAAATGGTACGGACCGTTACCATTTTAGCAACCGGGGCAAAGGTATCGCTATAATCAATCCCTTGTACCTGTCGGTTACCGCAAACTACTAGTCTGGCCTTGTAGCGTTCCACCGAGCCATCACTTTTATATTTGATCTTGTAGACCCATTTGCAAAAAATTGCCTTCTTCCCTCGGGGCAAATCTTGAATTTTCCACGTACCAGTTTGCTCCAATGCTTGTATTTCACGTCGCATAGCATCCCGCCATTGTGGGTCTCTAACAGCTTCTCCGAAGCTAGATGGCTCTTTATGCATCGAAATGGCTGCAATAAAGGCTCGGTGCGGAACCGAAAAATGATTATATTTTATATAATGAGATATGGAATAAGGAGTACCTGATTCAACCGTTGAAGTGGAGTCAACAACGGGGAGAGAGTTTATCTTAACAGTATGCATTTGCACTTCATAATCCTGATGCCATGCTGGAGCTTTACGGTGTCGCTGCCCTCTCCTGGATTGGTCAAAATTTATTAATTCGGAAGCTGGCAATATTGTTTCAGACATACCCATGCCATCCGACGTGGAAGTCAACCCGCCATGGGGGTCACCCTGCTCCTGCGCTCCGTCTTGGTCTGCTGTGGACGTCTGATGGGAATCACATGCATGGTCTGCGGTGATACTTGGTGCACCTCTTGTTTGCTGCGTGTCAGTCCCATCAAACGTGTCATGTGCATTGTCATCCACACATGCATGCATATATGGGTCCAAATTTTGTCTGCCCAGTGCATCCTTATCCGAATTGTGCTCCACCATTTTATAAGGAAAGGAATTCTCAATAAACCTAACGTCACGAGAAATCAAATGTGTATGATTTTCCAATCATACACCTTCCATCCCTTTTGAGAATAAGCATAGCCCAAAAAAACGCACCTAACTCCACGTGGTGCAAATTTGTCACCTGTTCGATCTTTAGCATGAACATAACACAAACATCCAAAAACCCGAAGTTGACTATACGTCGGGGGTTTATTATACAGAAGTTCATAAGGGCTTTTGTTGTCTAGGACAGGAGAAGGCAATCTATTGATCAAATATCCGGCGGTTAACACACATTCACCCCAAAATTCAATTGGTAAATTAGCGTGAAAACGTAGTGTTCTAGCCATTTCCAAAATGTGCCTATGCTTTCGTTCTACCCTGCCATTTTGTTGTGGGGTATAAACACATGATGTCTGAAAAAATATGCCATGGGTCAAAAAATATTCCTGTAGAACCATAAATTCTTTGCCATTATCACTTCTAATAACTTTCACAGTTTTGTCAAATTGGCGACTGGTCATGGCAATAAACTGTTTAAGAATAGTTTTCACCTCACTTTTGTCTCGCATTAAATGTACCCAAACAGCTCTAGAGAAATCATCAATTATAGTTAGAAAAAAACGAGCTCCACACGTAGAGGGAAAACGGTACGGACCCCAAATATCACAATGTATTAACTCAAAAGGTTCAACAGCACGAGCACTACTAATAGAAAAAACATCACGGGTTTGTTTGCCTCGTAAACATGCATCACAGGCTTTATTCTGAACAGATTGTAACACTGTTTTATTCAAACAATTAACTAAACGTAGAACTTTCACTGACGGATGTCCCAATCGTGAATGCCACAAATCACCTGAGTCATTCCTTGCCACAGCATGAACTTGTGCACAATCCAGACTCCGAAAGTAATAAACTCCCCGTCGATCACCCACTCCAATCGGCATCCTCGTAAGTAGGTCCTGTATTACACATAAATCATTAGTAAAAAATATATCACATTTCCGTTTATCAATTAATTGTGCAATTGAAATAAGATTGCACTGTAACCCATGTACAAGCAGTACATCACTCAAAGTCAACCGTGCATTCATCCACACGTCTCCAATATGTGTAGCATGTGTTACAACACCATTTGGCAAGGTCACAGGCACTGGATTAATTTTTGTCATCCTCTTCAATTTACTACCATTTCCGGTCATGTGATAGGATGCACCGGAGTCTAAGATCCATTCATTATTAATTTTCATACCTGAGAGTTTTTCCTCGGTAGAAGTAGTCTTACAATTTTCCATCAATTTGAGAAAAGTTTGCCACTGCTCGTCCGTAAAGCCAGGTTTATGCAAGGCCGTGTTGCTGCTTCCTTGTGGTGCGACTGTCGCTTCATGGCCATCCTGTACATGCAGTGCATGAGCGCCCGCCGTGCGCCCACGTCCTCTTCCAGACGTGCCACCATTCCGGATAGTTGCCGGTGCGTCGAAAACAATTGTCCACATCATGACCACTCTTGTGGCAGTAAGTACATTTGACCCTCTCATCTTTTCCTCCACTAAAGGTATTTGTACGAGTAGCAAAAGCTACTGTCTCAGTCTGTTGCTCACGTCCTTTTATTATGTTCTGGTGACGCTCCTCCTGTGTCACCGTGTTATATACTTTTGTCAAGGGTGGTAACTCATCCGCACTGAGTAGGTTGGATCGCATGGTCCCATACTTCTCATGATCGAGTCCCATCAAAAATTCGTGCGTTTTCTCCTTCTCTACATGCTTGAGAAATAATTTCTGCAAGTCACACGTGAAACCGTTACAAGTACACTGTGGTGTATTGCGGTAGCCATCATAATCGTCCCACAAGCCTTTAAGACGACCAAAATAAGCCGTAACTGGCTGTCCTTGTTGTTTGCAATCACGAATCAACTCCTTCAGTTCATAAGTCCGCATAGCGTCTCCAACGGCAAATCGTGCCTTCAAATCCTCCCAGAGTTCACAAACACTTTCCATGTAGGTAAGGTTTGTTCTAAGAGTAGGATCAACCGAGGTCATAATCCAACCCACCGCCATAGAATTGACGGTCAACCAATCTTCGAAATCGTTTCCATCCTTCACGGGTCGCTTGATGGTTCCATCAAGGAAACCCAATTTCCGCTTTGCACGGAACGCGTTTTTCATTGCCGTTGCCCATTCCCGGTAATTGCTTTCGCCCTTAAGAACAACGGCACAAATAACCAATCCCGGGTAGTCTGCGTTAGACAAGTAATAGGGTGAGGACGGATCATTTATTTTCCGCCGCTCGGGTTGATGTCCATCACCATGGTTTCCTGCTTCACCGGCCATGCTTGATGATGGCGATGCGTGTATGGAAGGTCCCAGATTATGGTGGCTCTGATACCATATTACAAAAGTAAAAGTGGAATGGTAGTATATTATTTACGCATGATGATGTATGTGTCCATCCATGCCATATATACACATGATGCTTAAGGCCGTAGCTAAAAGTTAGGAGAAGAAAAGGTAAGCAATTAATGACTAATATTCTATGCCTAAAATAACTATGCTACGTACGTACATGGAAAAGTGTTACAAAATAAAATGTTACAAGGTAAATCAATAATAATATATTCAATAATAATATCCAACATAACATAAATATATAATGAATAACACAAGTATCTATAGAACGTTCTCTTTGTAATTTCATGCCACTCACCATTTCCTTCGTCTGCAGCTAAAGTCTGGAGACATTTGAAAATAACTCTTGCTCCAAGAGAAAACCCTACCAGTGTCACTGGCCTGAAACACTCATGATCAGTTAACAATGGAAAACCTTCATAAACTGCTAACGTGTGTTTTTAGGCTATGCTCCTATTCTGGTAAATGCTATGGAATGGGAAAAAAGTCTACGGAAAGTGATTTGCTTATGTTTAGTATCACCTTGTAAAATCTAAGACAAAACTAAATATGTCTAGTATTTGTTAAATTTTTACATAGGTTTAGATTACTTAATCTTTAATAAATATAAATTAACTAATGAATGACTTCAAGCAAATGTCTAAAGTCTAAACTAAAGTTATTGAATTTGAACTGATCGTTTATTTTCCCCAATTCTTGTTCCTTCTAATTTTCCTCTCTTCTTTCTTTCACTGGAGTACTTTACGGGTTCCCAACGAAGCCGTAGACAATGTTTGGAACTCAGAAAATGGTAGGAAAAAAAGAATAAAGAAAATTATGGAAAATGTTTTTTAAATGTTTGCTTTGACATTAGAAAATACGAAGAAAACCAGAATGATTAAAACTGTTTTAAGACATTACGCTTAGCATTTACATAACAGATACATTGAAATAAAGAGTATGAATATAAAAATAAAAATATAGTAAGTAGTAACTATGAATAAAATGAGGAAGCGGTCCAGCCCAGCTGGTCGTCAACTCACTCTCCCTTATGGGAGGTCTCAGGTTCGAAACGCAATGGAGTGAGTTTCAGCCTAGATTACTCCAGGCTTCCCCCGGCCCCCCTCCCCAGACGCCCCTTGGAGTAAAAAAAAAGTAACTATGAATAAAACACAGGTCATGTGCACATGCAAGAGTATTCTTGTTTTGGGCTAAAAATATGACTATTTCGGTTCTAAAATATAACAGTTAATAATTCTTATTCTAGGAGTGAAAGATTACTAATTTCAGAAAAAGACAATGATGGTCCTATTTGAAACACTGCATTATATTTGAGTCATACACTCGTATATATGAAATTTTCCTTATAAAAAGTGATTTGTTGAGTTTGAAGCAATTTCAGAAATGCACTCGTATATAGCCCCTTCTCTCAAATCTCTTTCCCTGCCAGTTTCCGAGTTCAAAACGAAACCTTGAAGAAATTATATTTTCTAAATGATTCAATTGAAGCCAAGCGATCACACCGTTGTCCTTGATATCCTTTCTGTAGCACTTCCGCCATCAGTTCTCCAGCCTTATCAGATCTAACAAATATACGAGGGAAAGTGATATATGAATATCGATTTTTGCTGAAACTTTGACAGAAAGGAATGATGCGAGAACGTGTCCATGTAGTGATATTCTTTCTAGACCTATTTATTTGTCTATTCTATATCAATGCAAACTTATTTTATCTAACCAAAACCACTTGTGTAGTCTAATTTATATATACACTAATCAAATTTTCCATCATTTGCAATGGAGCCAAAGACTCGCTATTTTTTGGCTTGGGAATATGATGGAATAAAGCAAAATGGCTCACTAAACTATATGCACTCCTATGTTATGAAGTGGCAGTTAATCCATGCAATTTTCAACGCGATTTTCACTATGGGTCATCTGGAAACAGTCTCTTTGTGCTTTAGTATAGGGGTAAGACTGCGTACATCCGACCCCCTTACCCCACCGTAGGTGGGAGCCTTTGCGGCATTGGGGTAATGATGATGATGATACACTAATCAAATTAAATTGCTATAATCAACTTTAGTCTACATGGTTAATACAATGTGTTTCTGATCTTGTTTTGATGTTTCTCAATGTACTTCTATCTAATTCCAATGAGGGTACAAATGGGGGGAAAGTAATTAATGATAGTGCATATATATACTAATAGACGGATAATAAGAACCACAGAAAATATCAAAAAGTGGGCGAATAAATAGGACCAGGACAAGTAAAAAAGATGTCTACAAAGGCAGCATGCAAACAAAAATACTTAACACTCCCCATGAGAATTATTGGGTTGGTTAAAACGGAGCATAAAGTGAGGGAAAAAGCTACCTGTTAACAGCAATAGCCCATTTGCTGTCAATAAGTTCAGTCATAGTAAATAAGGTTGCCGGCAAAGCTAATGCTGATAGAAGAGAGCTTAATACTGTCATCATTGCACCTTGCTTCATCAATCCTAGTGCAATTTCTGCAAGCCAGAAAGTCATCAATGCATCGATTTAGCCACATCATGACATCGTAAATGGATTATGTATGTACAAATTAAGCATAAGATCATTTACTTGAAGTAAGCCAATCCTGAATTGCAGTGCTCAAAGTTATTAGATTCTCAGACTCCCACTGAAGGGCATATCTGAGGCAAGTTTCAGAATAAAATAAGAAAGTAACTTATAATTGTTTTATTCACTACTAATGTTTTCTTGATAAATCTAGGTGTTGATTACATCTAACTCCCCTAGGGTTTAGTCAAATTATTAAATGGTCCTTAAAGCCTTTGAAATTACACATAAGTCCCCTGGCGTGTTAGGTTTTTCGTAAATGGCACTGGAAAATTAGATATGTAATCATCGTCCAATGAATGTGTATCACATAAGAATGTTTACACATAGTGTATAATTTAATTTTTCCCTAACATTACAAATGATATTATTACAAATTAAATTTGTGTAGACTAAACTACATGCAAAAATTGTTGTGATGATCTTTTTGGGTGAAAGCTTTTAATATTCTAGCTGATAAAAAGTGCATTAAAATTACTATTTTCAATACCAAGGCACCCAATTCATCTTAATATCATTCAATTCTATAACCTTTTAGTACTAAAGTGAATGCTTGTAGAGAATCTGACAGGTCAAGGGGCTTATTTTTAATTTCAAAAACCTCAGGGACCATTTGGTGATTGGATTAAATCATGAGGATGGTAGATGTAATTAACTCTAAATCAGACGTAGAGGGAACTCTTGGGCTGCTAAATGATAGAAGCAAATGGAAACAGAACATATGTTTGGGAAAAATGAACTCTCTACCTTTCCAAGTTTCCATGTGGGCCTTCCCAAGGTCTGAGAAAATCTTGCTCCTCAAACACAAATCCACTAATTAATATCTCAACTGCCAACCGCTGAAGGGAAGAAGTGAAGAAGGAGCTCACATAAGCCATAACTTGTAATCCATAATTAACAAGAGAAACTCTATGGGAAACAACTGATATGATGATATCATCATATCAGGAAGGGAATGTGTAAAGAGTAGAGATACCGACAAGGAAACAATGGAACAGAAAGGGACAGTAAAACAATAATCAGAAAGAGAAGAAAAAAGCCATGGAGCATACGCCTTGGTTCTGGCTTTCCCCAATTTCTTTAAACTCAAATTCATCCACGTCTCCAATTCTTCGAGCCATTTTAATCCCAGTAAGTCCAGCTCCAGCAGCTGTTTAGGTCAATCAATAAGTAAATTCAAGAGGATGAGGATCATTAGCAGATAGCCAGATACAGACTCTGATGTTTTAAGTCTTTAAAATATGTACTTATTTGCAATTCTTAGGGTCAGTTTGGACTTTGGGTGTAGAATTTTGGAGGGTTGGGAGGGTCTTGGACGGCTAAATCTACAGCATGATTCCATGATATGTATTTTAGATATTATAGACGTTGAAGGAATAACATGATTAGTGAAAAACTAACAATCATACTTCATTACATACATAGTAACATTCTGTTTTCAACATATGGACTAATGACTAAGATCTCCAAAATCTTCCCCTCCAAGACTCTCCCAAATCCTCTATCCGAACTCACCCTACGGATCTGTTTTGAAGAGTGGATTTAGAGTGGCTTGGAGGGGAAGGCTTTCGAGGTCTTAGTTTATATTTGAAAAATATATTTTAAATTATAGAATTTGAAAGGTTAATATAATCTGCGATCAAATAACGTATTAATCACTTTTATTCGATTTTGAAGCAAGTAAACAACATAAATTTTATCTACATATAAACCAAGCCATCCCCTCGAAAACCATCCATCCAAACAGACCCTAAGAGTAAGCATATCGGCAATAAAAGGATACTACCAAATTAGTTAAGGAGAATTAAAAGGACAAAATGTCACCTCCAAAAGATGCAGCAACAGCCACAGAGCCAGCGACAGTTCCGGCTGCACTGGCAACAGCAGCAAACCCACTTGCTCCGATCACCGGTACAATTGTCCCCAGAGTTGGTGCTAAGGCACTCACTCCTGCAGCTATTGCTGGAGCAGCTAAACCTGTAAGAACAATAACCTTTAGTATATTGACTAGCAGTGCTTTAGCAGAGTTAATTGATAATACTACCATTGTCCCTCCCCCCCAAAACAAAGAAATCACATTTCACCTAGCTACAACTTTTAAATTGAGGTAAGGTAAAACCTTTTTTTAGTAAAGTACCACCATTGGGAAATATAAATTCAAGATATATTTTTGAATTTTTTAGTTAGCATAACTAAATTCAACTTGTTTGAGACACTTTTTTTCGAAAAGCAAATGCATTAAATATAGGGAAAATGACTCTTAGAACTTACAAATTGATAGCCAAACTATTTCAGTATACATCGCAAGTAATAAAAGAACATTGTGGTGTGGTTGGATTTCAAAGTTAAGAATTATTTTTGGTCTATGGCCAATACCTGGTAGTATTATTTTTGCTCTATATATAATAAAAAAATGGAATTACTTTTGACGGCATATTGGAGGAAATAAGTTAATATTGTTTTCAGTATATATTGAAAATTGAAATTGTTATACTATCATTATAATTTCTTAACGTTGGGATTATTTTTAGTCTACAGCAAATAGTTGATATATTTAAAGTCATTTTCCTTTAATATAATAAAATACTATCTCTGTCCCAAAAAATTCTCTCCACGTGCCTTTTTGGGATGTCCCAAAAAACTCTTCTCATTTCCCTTTATGGAATGATTTGTGTGGCTAACATTCATTTACCCTTTTCTTACTCAATAACAACCATAAATTTTCACTTTATTCTCACTTTCTTAATAGGCGTGGCAAGTCAAATTGGGAAATATTTTTTGGGACGGAGGGAGTAGCATCTTTTTTTCAGCAGTAGCTTTCTTGTGAGACATAAAATGTAACGAAATGGGAATGTTATTCTTTTGCAATGGAGGGAGTAATAGATTTATTGGGCATTGGTGAAAATACTCTTAACTTATTGAGATGTACTCATTTAGGCTTGTAAATTGAGTTCTTGTTTTCATCGATTGAATCTGTAAAGCCCATAATCTGATCCGTATTCACAGATTGGGTTGGATTTGATTGGATTAGAAACTTCACGGTTCAGATTGCAGAGTGGAATTTTCCATTTTGGTTTGCAGGTTTACCTCTAGTCCACTTAATTCGATCCATAGATCATATCTAAAAACTGCTTAGTGCTACACTGCAAAGTCGTAGGAAAATAAAAAGATGCCATACCGCCAGTAATTGCCATTATGGTACCTCCGGTCAATGCTGCTGCACCTATAATGCCTCCTCTTTTCCACTTAGCCCATGTATCATCGGAAGATATATCCCTTACCTCTGATTCTTCTGCTTTCAATATAGCCATTGCTGAACAGGCTATCATGGTCTCAATGGCTTCCTGAATGAGTTAATTAATGGTTTAGCCCCTAGACTATACACTCTTGTTCAATTTAGTCCTCGACTATGCAATTTGGACCCGATCTAATCCTCATGCATATTTGGTTGATTGGTTCTAAATAAGAAAGGGAGTTTCACCAATGCACTAAATCTAGACCCGTATTAAGAATTAAGTAGGATCTCTCCACTATGTAATTTGGACCAAATCTAGTCCTTGATGGATAAAAAACCTTCATAGTTAAGAGTAAAATATGTCCATGGAGTGAATTGAGTAGACATGTATTGTCAAGGACAAGTTGAGTCTAAAAGAAAATTGAAGAAGAAATTGAATAATAGTATAAAGTCTATGTATTAAAACCCTTTCTGAGACAGTCAGTTTGTTTCATGAAAGGTTGATGAAATTTGATTTAGGGGTGTCCCCAATATGGATTCTAGCACAACTGATTTTAATGGAATTGGTATGAAAAATAACATTAATCCAATTCCAACAATTCTCTTTGCCTCACCCCTCGGATTTGAAATCCACCCTACCAGTCCGTACGCCTCTTCTGAATTCTTCATCGCCAATCATCCTCCAGACAAATCTCTTCTCCCATGTTTATCTACTAGTTCAATATTTTTGGCATCTATAATACCGCCGACCGTCTTCAAACCTCCCTCTTCAAAGGGAAAAAGGACTTACCGATCAAAAACCTGTCTGCTTTCAATTTGTCGTCGAATTCATTTTCTGTAGAAAAATGTAGCATATTCATGTTATTTTATTATGTGTACATCCGGGACTGTATAGATAGGAAGTAGAGTTGATTTAGGACTCTAACTCTTAGATTAACACGCAGTGTAGATAAGAATAGATAGATCCTAAATATTAGGATCTGTAACAAACCTTAGCTTATCTGTAATTTTGTATTTATATCATTGCCGGATGGCTCAATAATACATGGAAGATTAATTCTTCAAACCTACATGGTATCAGAGCTTCGGTTTAAACAATGGTAGAAACCAGTGAAGCTGATTCCTCACACACTACCAACCCTAACTCCCAAATTAGCTCTATGACAAATTACCAGTCTCCTATTCATTCATCTATGATAATCACTAGTCATAGATTGAATGGAACAAACTATCTGGAGTGGTCTCAATCTGTCAGACTTGCAATTGATGGGAGGGGAAAGCTGGGTTACATCACAGGAGAAATCCAACCAAAAATACAAGCAGAAGAAGGGTACAGTACATGGAGGTTAGAGAATTCACTCATAACAGCTTGGCTTCTCAACTCCATGGAGCCCCTAATTGCCAAACCTCATATGTTTATGAAAACTGCAAAGGAGGTATGGGATTCTATTAAGGAAACTTATTCAGACCTTGAGAACTCTTCTCAAATTTTTGAACTCAAAACCAAATTGTGGCAATCTAAACAAGGAAATAGGGATATTATTTCATACTACAATGAAATGGTATCTCTGTGGCAAGAATTAGATCAATGTTATGATGATGAAGAGTGGGAGAGTGCTAAGGATCTGGCCAGACATAAGAAAAAAGAAGAGAATGATAGGGTCTATATGTTTCTAGCAGGGATCAATAGGGACCTAGATGAAGTTAAGGGGAGGATACTTGGAAAAAAACCTCTACCTTCTATCAGGGAGGTATTTTCTGAAATCAGGATGGAGGATAGCAGGAAGAAGGTCATGTACAACACCCCAGCACCTAATGAGGAACCTGGGGAATCTTCAGCTTTGGTGGCCAGAAATGATGACAACAAGAAAAAACCTTGGTGTGATCACTGCAAGAAACTGTGGCACACAAGGGATACATGCTGGAAACTCCATAGAAAACCACCAGGAGCTGGGAAGAAGAAAGTAGAAAGGGCCTTACAAACTACTGTGACTGAGACTCAACAAGAGGCAGGAGTTGAACCTAAACAGCTACCATTCACTCAGGAACAAATAGAGTACCTACTCAGATTCATACCTACCCAGAAAATCTCCAATCCTGAAAACCCTACCTGTTCTTTTGCCCAGAATGGTAAAATAACATCATATTTTTGTTCTGAAAAAACTAAAAACACCTGGGTCATTGACTCAGGTGCAACAGACCACATGACCTATATTCCAAAGTTTTTTTCTTCTTATCAACCTTGTGCAGGAGATAAAAAAGTTAGAGTTGCAGATGGCTCTTTCTCAGCCATAGCAGGGATGGGAAATATTAAAATTTCCTCATCCATTAACCTTTCCAAAGTCTAACATGTTCCTAAACTTTCCTGCAATCTTATCTCTATTAGCAAAATTACTAAAGATCTTCAGTGTTGTGTAAAATTTTTTCCCTCTTATTGCATTTTTCAGGATCTGGCATCAGGGAAGATGATTGGCAGTGCTAGAGAGGAAGATGGCCTCTATACTTTTGATGAAGGAACACAATTGAATAAACAAGGTCAAGAAAAAACTTGTTTGCAAACTGTTTTTCCTTGTAATAATGAAGTGTACCTAATGCACTATAGATTAGGTCACCCAAGTTTTTCCTACTTGAAAATGTTGTTTCCTAAGTTATTTCTTAATAAAAATCCTTCATCATTTCATTGTGATATGTGTGCACTTGCCAAACATCATAGGAGTTCTTACATCCCTCATAGTTACAAACCAACTAGTCCTTTCACTATTGTACACAGTGATATCTGGGGTGCATCTAGAGTTTCAACTCTGAAAGGAAAAAGGTGGTTTGTAACTATCATAGATGATCACACAAGGGTCACATGGGTGTTTTTACTTAAAGAAAAATCTGAGATTGAAGAGGTGTTCAAACAATTTTACTCAATGATCCAAACTCAATTCAACACTAATATCAAAATTGTGAGAAGTGATAATGGACTTGAGTATTTTTCTAAGAAGTTAAATACTTTTTTTGCTGAAAAAGGGATTGTTCATCAAAGTTCCTGTGTAAATACTCCTGCTCAGAATGGAATAGCTGAGAGGAAAAATAGACATTTACTTGAAGTTACTCGTGCAATAATGTTTTCTGCCAAAATTCCAAAATATTTATGGGGAGAAGTTGTTTTACATGCTACCTATCTAATTAATAGGATGCCATCAAAAACTCTAGGATTCAAAACTCCTATTGATACTCTTCAAACTTGTTTTCCTGAAACTAGACTAATTAACTCTCTTCCCATAAAAATTTTTGGGTGCACAGTTTTTATTACCAATCCTGACAGAACTGCAAGTAAATTTGACCCTAAGGGAAAAAAATGTGTTTTCTTAGGACTCTCTTCAACTCAGAAAGGCTATAAATGTTTTGACCCTATAACAAAAAAGATGTTTATAACTATGAACACTGTTTTTGTAGAAGATCAACCTTTTTTTGGTACTCATCTTCGGGGGGAGATTCCTAATGAAGATGGTAATAATGTATCACATATCCTTGAAAAACTAGAACCTCTTGACATTAATCTAGATGCACAGTATAATAGACAGTTAGATGCACTAGAAAATAGTCAAGAGTCAAAAGAAAATGAATTTTTTTTTTCTGAAACAAGGAAAGATGATGAACAGCAGATAAGTAAGTTTTTTGGCAAGGTTTATGAAAGGAAAGTTCCAAATCACAGAATAGAGGACATCCCTGATCCTGCCACTGTCAATGAATCTGACTCAATGCCAGAAAATGACAAAGGTAATAATTTCAGTGATCTAAATCTACCCATTGCTCTCAGAAAAGAAAAAAGGTCATGTGTTAAATACCCTATCTCAAACTATCTGTCCTATTCTCAGTTATCTACATCATTTGCAGCTTTTACCTCTAGCCTTTCCAGTGTCTCTATTCCCTTAACCATACAGGAAGCCCTATCTATACCTGAGTGTAAGAAGGCTGTTTTAGAAGAAATGAATGCCCTTGAAAAGAATCAGACATGGCAGACTGTAGAGGTACCCAAAAATAAACCAAGGGTTGGATGCAAATGGGTGTTTACTCCTAAATTCAAGGCCAGACTGGTTGCCAAAGGATACACACAAACCTATGGCATAGATTATACAGAAACTTTTGCACCAGTTGCAAAATTAAATACTATAAGGATTCTACTATCTCTAGCTTCTAACCTAGACTGGCCTCTTCAACAGTTAGATCTGAAGAATGCTTTCCTAAATGGGAAGCTTGAAGAGGAAGTATACATGAGCCCTCCTCCTGGGTTTGAGGAACAATATGGCTCAAAGGTGTGCAAGCTAGAGAAAGCCTTATATGGGCTTAAACAGTCCCCAAGGGCTTGGTTTGAAAGGTTTACTCAGTTCATAAAGAAGCAGGGATTCAAACAAGCCCAAGCAGATCATACACTATTCATGAAATTCTCCATTAAGGGAGAAATTGCAGTACTAATTGTTTATGTGGATGATATAATTCTTACAGGAAACTATTGTGAAGAGATTGAAGACCTGAAGAAGAAGCTTGCTCAGGAATTTGAAATCAAAGACCTGGGAGAATTGAAGTATTTTCTTGGCATGGAGATAGCCAGATCAAAGAAGGGAATTGTGGTATCCCAAAGGAAGTATGTACTAGACCTACTTCATGAAACAGGTATGAGTGCATGCAGACCAATAGATACTCCAATTGACCCTAATCAGAAGTTAGGAAATGTCAAGGAAGGAGTACCAGTTAATATTCACCAATATCAAAGATTGGTGGGAAGGTTGATTTATCTGGCACATACAAGGCCAGATATTGCCTTTGCAGTCAGTATGGTTAGTCAGTTCATGCATAATCCATTCCAAGAACATCTAGATGCTACCTACAGGATCCTAAGATATTTGAAAAGTTGTCCAGGGAAAGGATTATTTTTTAAAAGAAGTGACAATAGAAGTGTAGAAGCCTTTACAGATGCAGATTATGCTGGGTCAATAACTGATAGAAGGTCTACATCTGGATATTGTACTTATGTATGGGGGAATCTGGTGACTTGGAGAAGTAAGAAGCAGAATGTTGTTGCCAGAAGTAGTGCAGAATCTGAATTTAGATCTATGGCTAATGGAATCTGTGAGCTACTTTGGATCAAGAGAATGATGACAGAGTTGAATATGGAAATGAACCTACCTATGAAATTATATTGTGACAATAAAGCAGCCATTAATATTGCTCACAATCCTGTGCTACATGATCGTACTAAACACATTGAGGTGGACAGGCATTTTATCAAAGAGAAGATTGAAGCTGGAATTGTATGCACACCATTCATATCTACTAAAGAGCAGACAACTGATATCTTTACAAAGGGGCTGTTTAAACCAGTGTTTGAGTTTCTTATAAGCAAGTTGGGAATGTATGATATATACTTACCAACTTGAGGGGGAGTGTAGAAAAATGTAGCATATTCATGTTATTTTATTATGTGTACATCCGGGACTGTATAGATAGGAAGTACAGTTGATTTAGGAATCTAACTCTTAGATTAACACGCAGTGTAGATAAGAATAGATAGATCCTAAATATTAGGATCTGTAACAAACCTTAGCTTATCTGTAATTTTGTATTTATATCATTGCCGGATGGCTCAATAATACATGGAAGATTAATTCTTCAAACCTACATGGTATCAGAGCTTCGGTTTAAACTAATCTTCATATGCATTTCACAGTCACGGTTTCTAGCACAACTACTTGACTCTCTCGCAGGTGGGCATTCTTGATCATTTCGGTCTTCTTGTTTATTATAGCTGGAAAAAGCTTCACGAAGGGAGGTGATTGTAGCACTTCTGGAGTGGCGAAGCTCATCAGATGCAGAGCTTTAAGAGGGCCGGCGGTTTTCTTTGATATACGAAGTATACCTTTTCTCATTGAAATATAATTCAATTACATTCCATTAAAATCCATAGAATTCTATAGATTCTTTGGAATTCCATTAAAATCATATGAAATCCAAATCCTTAAAAATCTTTCAAAATCAAAGTTGGGGAGGTTAATAGTTTAAGGGAGGTTAATCAAAATATCTCTCTGAACCCCGAAAGAGGATTTACTACACTCTATGTATAGAAACAGAGCAGTTGTTGTACACCAGTCACAAAAGAATCTCCTACTACTAAACCTGACAACTGGTCATGATTGCTGATGCATATATTGATTTCAGAATACCAATCACATCATGGATATTACAGAAACATAAAATGACAGATATAACCTATGATCAGATGAAGGTTTTGGAATTTCATCTCACTATTATTTCATAAGAAGGACATGATACGAAGGATATCTGACTTGAGCATTGGGTAACTAAATCGGCTGATAATGAAAAGCAGTGCAGAAATTACATCTTTTTGGCTGAAAGCCTGAAACTTATAACACATTACTTCAACCTTCATTTTTTAGATATTACTTTCTTTAATTATTTAATTAGTATACTACTCCCAGTCTCACAAAACTTTGCCAACTTTCCTTATTTAGTCATCCTGAAAACTTTTCCATTTCCATTTAAAGTAATTCATATGTGGTTAAAGTTATTCTTCTATCCTCTAGACAAATCATAACCACAACATTTTTACTTTATTATTCCACGTGCAAGTCAACTTTGGCCAAGTTTTATTGGACGAAGGGAATATTAAATAAACTTTTTTTATAGTGCAGATCCAATCACAACTTCTGTGGCTCAAATAACTAGAAACGTACAATGCAGTATGCACAAGATATGAGAAAGAGCATACCACTTTAACCCATTCGACATCAAACCAGGTCGCAATCAACCGTAGAGCCACACGGTATCTGGCATCGTACCCTTTTACTTGTCTAGTGGATTCTTCCGGTGTATCTGCTAGACAAGCCGAAAGAAGGACATAGAGAACTGACAATTTCCTATGATACGAAAGCAATTTTATATCTTCCGCTGGTTTTTCACCCATCCCTGAAATAGGATCCATATCTGCATGTCTTGTGAGAGATGGGTCATAATCTTCCTCCAGTTTTTCAGTGGTTGAATACTTCTCCCTGTATTCTTTTTCATAAGCAGACCACTTTTGCATGGAAGACTGATAATTGAGAGATTGCTTCAATCTTGATACCATATCATCTATTGCTTTTGCCAAATCAAGTTCCTTTCTCTCTGCTTCTGAAGAGCCACCACCAATTTCCTCATTGAGTAACGACCTAACAAACTGATGTACAAGATTCACGAGAGTTTAGTGATAAACTGATAATGGCTGATGAGCGAGGACAATATGATGCAATCAAAATAGGAAATGTCTAAGGCTCCATTTGGGAGAGGGGTGCAGGTGGTGGTGGGCCCCACTAAAAAATGAATGGTGATGGTGGCGCCACAATACCATGTGACTCCATAAAGGAATCATATGGGTCTCCATGAATCTACTCTAAAAGATGTAATAAAAACCTCATATGCTCCAAAAATTCTATTTTGCAGCTTTGAGAAATCGAACTATAACTTTTGGAATGGTGCGTTTGAAGTGCATCCATATTACCCAAAAAGTCGTGCTTAGAGATTTTGCAAGCTGGTAAAATAATGTTGAAAAAATGAAGAGAAGGAACTACCGCTTCTACATGATTCTGGGTTGTTGAAGATCCAGCAGTTTCCTCAAGCCCAGTCCACGTTGAATCCTCGATCTCTAAAAACCTTTTCTCAGATAAAATTGATAACCGAAACTTAAATTAATCATCCTCGAACAATTAAAATATTAAGATCCCTATATTTCTTTTCTCACTTCAATAACGAATAGAATAACGATAACTGCCAAAATGGGCACATATAGTAAGCAGTACATATTAAGAGTGAGAGAGAGAAAGATGACTTGAAGATGCGGCGGAGCAGGCCGGAGGAATGGTGGGCCCAGAACTGAGGATCTTCAGAGACGGAATCACAGCCGTGGGTGGTTTCCTTAGGGGTGCGTTCTGGCGCCGGTTTGGGATGAACGTGGTACGATGGAGATCCAAGATGACGAGTTTGGTGGATCTGGACGTGGTGGACGGCAAGAGCAAAGAGACCTCCGGCGGCGTAATTTTGCCTTAGGCTCAGTATCGACGGCGAAGGCATTGCAAAACATTTGTGATGAGTAGTACGTAGTAATTCAGAAGGAGAAAAGAAATGATCAAAAACCGATGTGCTGCTGCTTCTCTGTCTGCATTCAACGCCTGTTCCGGAGATGATGCAATTGCTCACCAAGCATGGTCGATTTCCTTGGACTCAACTTTTGAATTTTTGTGTATTTATAGGTAGGAGCATTTTTTGGAATTGCATTTTTTTGTTTACTCCTTCCTGTTCACAATAAACTTCTCAATTGACTTCACTTTGGAGTGCACTGTTTAGACACTATTTGGCACTGTTTAAGAAAATGGGAAGAAGTGGGAAGTTAATTTCGGGATTGCCCGAAAAGGAAAGTGAGAAATTGTTTATGAATCGGAGGGAGTATTATTGTGGAATTGCTATTATTTCTAAAGCTAAATTCACACTCAAATGCAAATCGTGACCCGCAAAATATAGGAGATCATAGGGAGATCATAGGTGGCCAACGCGCAATAGAGACCCCATGTAACTGCCCCATAGATTCACATCTGCGCAATAGAGCACTAAGACCTGCAAAAATCAAAAATAAGTATGGGGACAAAGGATCCCCTGACACAATCCTCTCCACGGTGCGATCAAATCAATCACTGAATCATCAAACGAGATTGAATAGGAGACTGTAGTGACACACTCCATAATAAACCGGATCCATCTTTCATGAAACCCCAAGTTTCTCATCATCCCATCCAAAAACAGTCACTCGACCCTGTCATAGGCCTTACTCATATCTAGCCTAAGCCCCAAAAAACCCATTTTTCCGTGACGCTTACATTTTAAAAAATGTTGGGACTCAAAAGCTAGCATGATATTATCTGTCTCCCCGAAATAAAAGGACTTTGTTGCTCAGATATGCAAAACTGAAGTAAGTTCTTCATACGATTTGCCAACAGTTTTGAATTTTTTTTATAAATGACGTTACAAAGTGCAATCAGTCTCCTGTCGCCTAGAGTTTCAGGCTTCTCTTTCTTGGGAATCAGAACAATATTAGTGTGATTAATTTTTCCGGAAGCTTACCTGAAGTGAAGGCCTCCTTGCAGAAATGGATAACATCCGGTCCAACCACATCCCAAAAATGATGGTAGAAGCTCGAGCTTAACCCATCCGGACCAGGAGACTTATCAGGGAACATAGCAAAAGCGTTAGCTTTAACTTCCTCACCAAGGAGTCAAGGACGTAGGAGATCATGATTATGTTGCTCTGCAATTTTGCGTCGAACACAGTCAAAGACAAACTCCTCCCTCCCTCCACCTGCCATAAAAATATGATTAAAACAATCATTAATTAATTTTCCCACTTAAGCCCTATCACTTTCCCAACGCCCATCCCCTAATCGGAATCCTACAATTTTATTCTTTCTTCGTCGATGTTTGACCGAATTGTGAAAATAACGTGTATTAAGGTCACCTCCTTGCAACCAAAATTCCTTGACCGTTGTCTCCAAAAAATGTTCTCCTTCTCAAAGAGGTCAATATATTTCTGCTTAACCCTATGAAACTCTCCGAGTCCCCAAGAATCCCATCTGCACCAGAGATGTTCAAGTCTTTTCCTGCAAAATGAAATAAGCTTCCCAAATGAGCCAATCTTGTTATAACCCCACTTGCCAACTGCTTTGCCACACGAGGCCACCTACCCCATATTTTCCCAGTTGCGAGCTAAACCCCAGCTACGAGCCACAATCTCCCAACAATCAGCCTCCTTGAATCAGACGTTTTCAAACTTAAAATTACGCCTCCGCCTAACATGTTGAGTAGGGATAATTTTAATGTACAAACCTAGGTGATCGCTCAGTGCTCCCTCCATAGATTCTGCCACAGCCTCTCCAAAAATATCAAGCCAGCTCTCAGACACCAAAATCCTGTCAAGCTTTTCCTCTACCCAATTTGGAGATCCTCTCCATCGTTCCCAAGTGAACTGATAGCCTTAGAAAGCAAAATTCCTTAGGCTGCACTCCCAAACTGTCTCTCGAAATCCTCTGAGAAGCCAATGAGGATGGGGAACCCACCCCCTCTTCTCAGAAGCAAACACGGAGGATCAACTCCCAAGCTCAAAGATTGAAGTATATCCCACGATTCTCGATGTCTATTTCTTTCTGGACACCCACCGAAGCCCGTGAAACGCCAATTGGGGGCTTCCATTTCAAGTCTGAATTCCACATCAATAAAATGGTTCTAGGAGCCCGCCACTTGAACATGTATACCTTCTCTCCATGACAATGCTATTGTTGATCCAATGTACAACGAATTGTCTTTTTTTTGCAGCATCAAATAGAAGAGTAACTGAGCAAGACGTTTAACAAAATCAAGTGTACAGCAAAGATGATGCTAATGTTGATCCAATGTACAACAAAGACGTCATCAACCCTTTGGAATAGATTTGGAATTTTATCAATTCAAGACCTCAAAGATAGATGAATTGTCAATTCGGGACCTGAAAGATAAAACGTATCAATATAGGACCCGGATGATGAAAAACTATCAATCTAGGACCTGAGTGATTGAGAGTTTTCAATCTAGGACCTAAGTTGTCATGAATTTTATCAAAATTTATCAATGAAATTAAATAAATCAAAACCTATAAAATGTAAGGTCTAGTTTTTCAATAACAATGAGGTATCTTCTATTAAGCACTTCTATACCTAAATAATGGGATTGCATATATTTTATTCCCAAAATAAGACTTATTTAGTCCTATGAAAAGAATAACTTAATTAAAACATCTCAAAATAGAAGTGAATGAGTCTTATTTTGAGAATAAAATATTGATAATCATATTTATGAGCTTTATCCATATTTTAGTCCCAATTAAAAAATATATTCTAGAGTGTTAAATTTTGGAGAGATATACCTTAGCCTCATCGTCGGTCAACCCTTGGTGTATAATTCAAAATAATGGCTAAAGGGTCAAATAGGCCCCTGTACCTTTCCGGATTGTTCAATTTGCCCCCGAACTCAAAAAAGCTCCAATTGGCACCCTGAACTCCATAAAAAGATTCAAATTTTACTTTTTGCAGGTTACAAGCCGGTCACCGCCACATCACCCGGTAGGGTGCCAACTGTGCATGTAACATGGCAATTTAGGGGGTCAAATAAGCCCCTGAACCCGACTGAAATGTTCAATTTACCCCCTCAACCCTAGAATTTTTTTTGACATTTTTTAGGGTCGAGGGGGTAAATTGAACGATTCGATCGGGTTCAGGGGCTTATTTGACCCCCTAAGTTGCCACGTCACATGCACAGTTGGCACCTTACCGGGTGACGTGGCGGTGACCGGATTGAAACCTGCAAAAAGTGAAATTTGAATATTTTTATCGAGTTCAGGGTGCCAATTGGAGCTTTTTTGGGTTGAGGGGGCAAATTGAGCAATCCGAAAGGGTACAAGGACCTATTTGACCCTTTAGCCTTCAAAATATGATCTTTTATAGTTTGTAATAATAGCCTATTAACCATGTTCTTGGTCAAAGTCCATAATCGACAAACGTAAAAGTTAAGAAAGGTGAAAGTGCGGGAAGGTAGGTGTAGTCCAATGGATGACCATCCACCCCCAAGTCTCTCCTTTGTGGGAGGTCTTGGGTTCAATTCCCACCGAGGGAGATGAGGGAGGTCTTGCTCCCAATGATTCTCCCTACCTTCACGGAGTTGCTCAGCGGTTGAAAAGGGAGAGGATGGTAATGAAGGTAGCGGGTTCCCTGCTGGATTAGTCCTTTGGAACCAGTACTGACGAGGCTGACTGTGATCAGATCCGGACTTAACTGTCTAGAAGCTTTGGATGGTAGTTCATAGACTCTAGGATTATAGGAGCGTAAGCCCCGACACCTGGATTATCAAAAAAAAAGAAAAAAAAAAGAAGAAAGGTGAAAGTGCATCTTTCTTCTCGTGATATTTATCTCTTTATAAAAAGGGTGGAATTCAGACCATTTTTCCCGCTCAAAACAGTCCACGTCAACAGCTCACATTTTGTGCAGCTGGTGGAGCCCACACAAAATACAGATTTTGCTCTGACCGCATATATAACATGTTAAGGACAGTCAATTGGTTGGGTCTCATACTCTCATGTGCTCCGCAGTCCGCTGAAGTGCACTTGGTGAAACACTAGCGCACCTATTGTGTATTTGGAAATCTTCCTGGCAGATCTCAACTAGTGTATATCTTCCTTGGGAAACTAGTGTAACACCTTGGCAGAAATATTTTGAATTATTTATATGATACGATCAAAAGTTTGGTTATAATCGATTTTTTATGAACTAATCATCATCATGGAAGATCGTGAGGAATCACCGTCTTTTGGAGTATGAATTTGTGATTATATTATTGTTTATATGTTGATTGTTCTTTTAGTTGTGGAATACTACGTATTAATTATTGATAGGACTGATTATATGATGAGTGGTGATAACAAGAAGTGTAGAATTGGAATTGGGAGTATGTGGAGTTTACATTGTTTTAGGTAGTCATTACATGCATTATTGGTGTGATACTTTTAGAGTCCCGCTCACGTGAACTAAAGTTCCATTATTTAAAAATTTTGGTTGTGGATTAAAGCCTCACTCAAATATGTGAGATTGATTTTTGTATGATTAGAGTCCTATTACGTGTATTATAGTCTCATTACTTAAAACTTTTTATGTTGTACAATTTTTTTAGAAATTGAATTGATATCATATTTATTCTGAGAATTCTACTCCATTAATATAGTTGATATTAAGTAGTTGTTCTATTCATTTGATATGCATATTTATGATTTTAAACTCTGGTCTAATTTGATCTGATTTTTTATGATCTATTCTAGTCTGGTATGATGATGCAGTATGAATGTTTCCGGTGGCGGATTTAAAGTTTAGTTTTTCAGTATTCAATATTTTTACAATTAATAATTTAAAGAAGTTATATCATTGATTTATAACTCAATTTTTACTTCGTTCAAAAAAAAAACTCAATTTTTACTATAGATTTGATATATCATTGATTTATAACTCATTTTTTACTATTGACTATTTTTATTTTTATATATGTAATATTAGTGTCATATGAAAGATCATAAAAAATTATAAGTTATGATATGTTTTTTGTAAAAATTGTAGTACAAAAAATTTAGAGAACTTCAAAAAAGATTCTTTCTCACCGCTTTCTCCAAATCAGTTGGCTTGATTAAAATAAATAGGAGTGGCGCAGCGAGTGAATAGTAGTGATGCACCAAGTGAACTTGGATTAATTAAATAATTTAGTAGTAGTGATAACATAATTTTTATGAACCAATAAGAGACTGTCACATCATTGATTTATAATTCAATTTTATTATATAAAAAAACATTTTTCATTTTTATATATGCAATATTGGTGTCATATGAAAACTTTTAAAAAATTATGAATTTTGATACATTTCATTTAAAAATTGCAGTACAAAAAAGTTATAGCACACTAAAAAAATACTTAGCTTGCTCTCTTCCCCTTTCTCCAATTTTTGTAAAGACCAGACTATAATCAAAAAAGTTATAGCACCTTAAAAAGAGTTTTTTCCTTCATCTTTTTCAAATGAGTTGGCGTGATTAATATGAATAGCACTTATGCACCCGGTGAATAGCAGTGATGCACCAAGTGAACTTGCTTAGTTAAATGTTTTAGTAGTAGTGATAATAAAAAAGTTTATTAACGAATAAGAGACTGACACATCACTTATCAATTTTATTTTATAAAATAATGTTTTTTATTTTTATATATGCAATATCGGTGTCATATGAAATATCATAAAAAATTGTAAGTATTGATGTATTTTTTGTAAAAATTGGAGTACAAATAAATAAGTTATACTCCATTTGTGCCTATTTAAAATGTCACTTTGTTTAACACACAATTTATGAAAGTGGCACTGTTAGACACACAATTTTTAAAAGTGCCACTTTCTCCCTATAAACAGGGTCATGGGTCGGGCCACCCGCCGGGCCGGGCCGGGCCGGTTAAATCCATTTTTTTATAATTTATACTTTATAGTTTTATACAAGTATTAAAAACAAACTTCAAGTGCATTTATTTGAAATGAAATAGGAACTACATTTGACAATTAAGAAAAAATACATTATGAAATACATTTTGTAAATTGTAAATTTGTAATCAATCGGAACTTCTCGCACCTCCCGATCCTTTGGCTTTGTCACATGACTTAATATGCTTCATTGTCATCCCGTATCCGCGTGAAACCCCCATGCTACACTTTTTCCCGCACCATTTGCAAGTTGCGTACCACATCCCGGTCCTCGGGTCCTTCTGCTTATCAAAATTATACCGTATAACGGCATATTGACTTTCCATCTTAAAAATGGTAGATATAATAATTCTACAAATACTACAATAGATGGCGATGAAGATGGAGAAGATGTGTATAAAAATGTTAGAAAATAAGAGTATTTATAGAATTTTTTGTACCCCACCCCCGGGAGTCCCACCCTTGATTCAAGCACCCAACGGCTATATAGCCGTTTGGGGGAATTGGGGCCTTGAGGAGCCTTTGATTTCAAATTTTATTTGTTTATTTTACTTTGAATTTTTAAATAAATTACATAATGTAAAATTAATTAATTTGAGAAGAGCTATGTATAAAAAAAATGAACGTATATTTATTTGAAATATGAACTACAAGTTTACAAGTTACAATTGAGAATTAAAGGTAAAATTAAAATATGAAATATTGAAATACTAATCAATCGGAATCTCCGACATAGGTAGAGCCACCCTCGGTTGTAGATTCATCCATAAAGTGTTGGGATGGGGTGATGTCAATTTCTTGAGCTCTACGGGCCGCCTTCTACCAATCGTGGTAGCATATAAGCATCTCAAGAGATTCTGCGCTCAACCTCGTTCTACATTGCGTTAGGACATTGCCGGTCGAACTAAATTCTTACTCCACGGCAACTGTTGAAACCGGCATTGATAGCACTTGCTTTGCCATTTTTGCTAAAACCGGAAACATTCTTTCTTTTCCCTTCCACCAGTTTAGAACGTCAAAATCATCATCTTCTTCAAAATCAACATCATATGTTAAATACAAAGAAATCTCATTAATTGTGCTTTGTTGAGTAGCGGGAGTTGATTTCGTTTTTTAATAAGATTGGCAAATGTAGATTTCAGAATTGATTTTCCTTTAGATGAAGATGTTTGTGTCGGGGGAGGGAGCGCGTTTCAATATTGTGCATGAAACTCATTAAATAATGCATAAAATATATCACTAACATCGTTGTATTCTTTTCTCGGATCAATTGGGTTATCCTCATACATTGGCATTGGACCCAAAAAAGCAGCATAATAATAATTCAAACATCCTTCTAAAGAATCAAGTCTAAAACGAGGATCGAGAACAAATGCAATACCATAAATATGCGGAATATGTGAATAATATTTTAAAACATTTTCCTTCATAAAACTAGCAAAATAACTCACATAATCAGCATTCTCAAAATTTGAAAAAGCACCGGCGAGATTAACAGCTTTACGAATAAATTGGTTTGAGGTAGGTTTATAAACATGACTAAAAGTTTCAGTTGCATTATTAAAATATAGGCTAAATGGTCAAATAGGTACACGAACTAACTTTAAGTGTTCAATTAGCTCCTTATATAGGATGTTCTGATCGGCCGTCGCCAATTGGGGCGGTTCCCGGTGGAATTTTTTGACGAAAGTTTTTGAGCATCTTCTTCATTAAGTCTAGTTTACCCATACCAAATTTCAGCTAAACATTCAACCAGAAAGGCAGTCAAATATTTTTTTGAAGATAACTGTGCAGTTAAACAGCACAGTATATTTCGGAAAATCATTTGACTGTCTTCTCGATTTAGTTTTTAGCTGAAATTTGATATGGGTAAACTAGACTTAATGAAGAAGATGCTCAAAACAATTCATCAAAAAATTCTATCGGGAACCGCCCCAATTTGCGACGGCCGGACGGAACCTCCTAAATAAGGGGCTAATTGAACACTTTAAGTTAGTTCATGTACCTATTTGACCCTTTAGCCTTAAAATATATCAAAGCATTACAAATTTTTTCACAGGTGTCGATCTCAGCCGAGTTTATAATATAGTTATCATATTGTTTCATAAAAGCAGGAAAATGTTGTTTATATCTAAGAAGAATTGCAATTAACTTATAAGTACTATTCCAACGAATAGACAAATCTTTAGGAAAAGCCACATATTTCTCACCTCTTTCTATCAAATAATCATGCCATTTTTTTCTAAGTTGTCCATTACCCCAAATACGTCTAATCCCCCCTTGACTACCTCCAAAGATGCTCCCAACGCTTTTAGACCATCTTGCACACATAAATTTATAACATGACATGCACATCGTTGATGAAAAAATCTACTCATCAAAGAAGTAGAACCACACAATTCACGCAATCTAGGAATAGCAGCAGTATTATTAGTAGCATTATCAAAACCAATAGCAAACACCTTATCAATTAAATTATACTCAATAAAAATACGTTCAATCAAAATAAAAATATGTTCAGCGGTGTGACGATCATTAAATTCACGAAAAGCAAGAACACGTTTATGCATATGCCAATCATTATCAATATAATGTACAGTCAGACCCAAATAATGTAAATTATGATAAGTATCCTCCCATATGTCAGAACATACAGTAACACACCCATCAAAGTTTGCAAAATAATTTTGTAACCTTACCTTTTTCGAACCATAAAGCCTTGAAATTTCTTTATTAACCGTTTTGCGACTATAACCTCTATATTGAGGATTTAAACAAGTTTGTGCATAATCACGAAAAGCAAGACTTTCAGAAAACAAATAAGGCAAATTTTCTTCAACAAGTAAGTTAGTCATACCAGTCAAATTTTGTGCATCATTGTATGAGAAATTACCAAAAGCTTGTTGGTTATTTGCAAACCTCGATATTTGAGTTTGCTTCCCCGTTCCGCCGCCTAATTTTGCATACTCCACCGGGTGTTTGGACTTAAGATGTCTTGTGGCGGATCCGTATCCGCCGGAAATCCCCAAGCTATAATTTTTCTTGCACCAATTACAAGTTGCGGTCCAATTCCCGGTGTTCGGGTCCTTCCACTTAGAAAAATTATTAGTCATTAATTCAGATTTACTTTTTTTCGTACCGGTTTGGGATGAGGCAGGCTCGTCGGTGTCGTGGCTGCCGCCACCCTCCTCCTCGTCGTCGTCGTGGCTCTCCGGAATTACTTCCTCCACATCATCGTCCTCGAGCTCTTCTTCGTCAATGGTCCTCGGTTGATCTTGGAAAAAGCGGTTATTATGTCGGTGCAATTCTTGTTCTAGTTGTTCGTCAGTCATTGCATCCCCATCCCTCCTTGCGTAACCCGTATCAAAATCATCTCGGCTTTGAGATGGAGCCAATATGTGATTTAACTTTGCGGGATCTCTTCCTCACAAGCTCGTTCCTTCGGTTGCGGTCGAGGTTACCCATATCAACCGAAAATCTACCACCTTCCATCTTAATATAATATATGTATTTATAAGTAGATAATTAATATATAAGTAGATAAGAAATATAAGTAATATAAATATATGTATTTATAAGTAGATAAATAATATAAGTAGATATAGAGCCCGTTTGGTAACACTGAAATTAGCTGAATTGGCTGATTTTGCTGAAATTTATGAAGTTCTGGCTGAAGTGGCTGTATTGGTTGATTCTGCTAATTCATGAAAAAATTATATTTAAAATATTTGTTATTAATAAATTAAATAAAAAATTATATGAAAAAATAGCTAAAATGATTCTCTACAGTAACTTCAGCCAAAACAGCCAGAAAAGTAACTTCAACCTTACTTTTTCTGCTTATTACAAACTTCAACGCGCGAAATCAAAAATTACGTGTTTGTTTAAAAAAATGGCTGATAAGCCTGATAAGCCGAAAAAGGGGGTCACCAAACGGGCTCATAATAATATATTGGAGAATAAGAGAACTTGATAAGATGAATATGAAGTAGATAATTAGAGAGTAGAGTGTAGGATTTAGGATTAGGATATGAAAAAATGTTTAAGATTAAGAGTATTTATAATTTTTTTTACCCCACCCACCCCCCACTCCCCAAACCGCCCCCCCCCCCCCCCCCCCCCCCCCTCGTCAGGCCACCCAACGGCTATATAGCCGTTTGGGTAGTCTCCAACCCACCCCCAATGGCTCTTTGTTGCCCAAAAGAAAAAAAAATAAATTTGACCGTTAGACCCGGACTCGGGCCCGACCCGACACCCAGTCCCGGGCCGCCGGTGCGGTCCCGGGCCCACACAGTAGCGGGCCGGGCCGGGTCACGGGCCGGGTGACCCGAACCGAATCCACCCCTAACTCCGTATCTTTTAATGGAAGCGTGTACTACTGTTTAATAAAAATGGCAAAATGAATATAGATGGGAGAAATTCCCTCCATCAGGTGCATACCCCCTATAAAAAGCAGAAAAGTATCCAAAGATCAAACAACTTACACAAGGCCATATTTTATAATTTTGTAAGGAACCAGACTTCTATCACCATTCACCAGTATAATAGCCTACAATGAAGCATTTTTAGTATTTTCTGACATGTTCTTACAACCAACTGCAGTAAGAAAATGCCCATGATGTTCTTTGAGATCTGTCAGAACATCTAACTATATACTCCTACTTAGTATATTCTAAATTAAATCTATCAATTAAAATAGTTTTTTTAAGCAAAAAAGTAATGAAATGCAAAACAAACAATTTCCATTAGGTCTACTCTGATCTGATTTTTTTGTTTTTTTATAACTATCCAAGTCTAGTCTGATCTGAAGTGATCTGGAATTACAGTCCAAGTAAAAACATCCTAACAAAGAAAGAACTACTTGGCATCTAATGTTGAACTAAGAACGTTAAAATTATGTTACGTGCTTGAAACCGTAGTGGCCTATAAAAAGACATTCACGCTTAACGATAGTGTACAATTTTGTTCTTTCTCCCAATAAATTAAAGTGAAAAGAATGGGCTTGCATGTCATGTTTCTTATACATCTGATTGATACACAACATTAATAAGTCAAGTCTATCATCAGTTACAAGTACAAAACATTTCTGCTAATGATTAAATGAGAGCAGAAAGGTAATACTACTCTCTTCCCTCTATCCCACCGTTGTTTAAACAGCAAAATTATTTTTCAAGCTATTCCGTTTGTTCCTTTGTGCCATTTCTGACGGAGCTTTTTCCAGCTAAAGTTACAACACTGGTTACAGATACAACTTCAAAATGCTCTTCAAAAAACGAAACCGCCCACATAAATCAGACGCAATATGCTTCCAGGAGGTTCTGAAATATGCTCTAGAAGAGCTCAGATTTGTGTTTGGCTGAGAACGATATCATCGGTCACAATGCAGAGAGCTAAAGGTGCCGGTTTTAGAGGGATCTGGCATCGGGCTGAGTTCCTCAAAGAAGTTAAAGTACTCATTCTTGAACTTTGGTATCATTTCCTTGCTGCATCTCAGGGCGGAAGCTGGTGAACCCAAGCCACTTTGGGACTCAAGGGCATCGACTTCAGCCAATAGGTCAGACACGGACTCCTCATCTAGGGTAGTGAACTCGATTGGCTGCCAGCTGGACACATTCAAGGTCAGATGAGATGGAGAGGAATTCATCAGATGGTCAGCATTTGAAGTGGGCGTGCCTGCAGTTTCAAGCGGTTTTTGTGGCAAGTTATTAGTGACCAGACCGGAATCCCATTCGTTAACAGCTATACTGGAAGCACTGCTCCAAGACGGGAGGTTTGAAGAAGAATGTTCTTTGGTTTCCACATTCCGGCCATATTGATGATCTTCGCCGCTAGGTGAGGGGCTAGGATGATCATGGTGGAGATTGGGGCGTTGGTTAGGAAAGCATGATGACAATGATAGCAGCTCCTCGGCTGCTTGGACTTCCCAACTCTTATCACCGCCCGCTGTTGGTGAAGAGTCATTGAGGAGGGCGGTGAAGCTTATCCTAACGTTCTGCTCAGGGGGGGCATCCAGCTTAGTGGTGACTGATGCAAAATGTGTGGCCTGAGGCACATTTTTTGAGGTTGTTAGGGACACAGATTCCCAGTTTTGTCCTGTCGATTGAATTAAACAGGCCTGGGAATTATAGTGCATTTCATGATGGTCCAGAATGGGAACATTTGCCTGAAATTCAACACCTGGTCTCTTTTCGGGTGGTCCATGACTCGATAAATGAAATTGGTGCCCGGCTTGGGATTTCTCGGACAAGGAAATTTTACCCTTTAGCAAATCCAAGAAAGACTGAGTGCCTGAGTCATCTGTCCGCGCACATTCATCACCACCATCCAAACACACATTTTCTTTCTTCTGTTTATTTTCACCTAAATTTACATTTGACACTCCTCGAAGGTCCAATGCTTGAACTACTACACTACCAGGGATTTTGGGAGGTTTATGGAGTAATGCATCAGTTAGTAGCACTGACCCATCATGCTCATTGTTTTTCCACACTTTCAAATCAGGAGGGAAAAACCCCGCTTTACTCCAACCACCCAACTGAATCATTGAAAATGGACCCTGCACAGTACTCGTGGGATCACGGTAATACCACAACTGTTGTGTTTCTTCACTGTTACAACCACCACCTGGAATTCGGTTCTCCATGGGAAGAGTTGCATTTGAAGTTTCAGACCCACAACGTCTAACCTCTGCCTGATCTACCTGACCACCAATGATTGAGGAAGAAGTAGGAGGGGTTTCTTTTCTGAGTCGTTTGGCTAGCAAAAGATCATTTAGTGTCAGTGATAGCTTTCCTTTTAGGTCAATCCAGTATACCTTAAAAAGATACTCCCATGTGGTTTTATCATCGAAATCTACATGTACCTGCACATATTTCAACGTTAGAATTTAAGAATTACAGGCATGATGGTAACGCTCATACAAAACTAAGGGCATGTTTGTTAACTATAAAATAGACGGGTTCTAGAAAAAACAGAATACATATTGCTGTACAAAACTTTCTGAATTACAAAAAATGGGAAATTCTACTATTTTAACTTAGGAAGGAATTCTAAAAACGCTTATTTACTATTCTCAGAGTTTTCCCAATAAAACATACTTTCAACTTTGACTGTCTGCGCTCATAACTGAGGTTTATGAGCCTCACCCCTCACATAGGCTTCCCAATTCGTGATATTTCACCCTCAAGACACTGTAATTTATGTTTCGGTGAAGAAAACTACCTACTTAGTCCAAAAATATAGCATCTGGTATAAAATATAGCAAATGACCCAAAATATTGAAAGTTTGGTGCACTTGGTTTCACTTAAGAAAATACTTACACTAAACCTTGGACTCTTTTTGAATCACCTTGAGCTCACTCAATCATCATTTTGCATTGAAGTCTTGAAGAGTTGAAGAAAGACTATATTCCTATATTGATCTACGAAGGTTATGAAAACAGGATGTAGACGATGACAATTGTCCTACAACCATAGCTACCTTTAATACACGTACACACATAGTTCAACAGTATTCAATAAATAAATTTGATTTATACACATATATACGTGAACTTACTTTGATTTATTAGATATACCCTTATTTTATATAAAATCAAGAGGGAAATATGTAAAAAGTAAGGAACTAAGGATAGTATTGGCATTTCCTATTAGGAAATACTACCTCCGTCCCACTGTTTGGGACAAAGGAGTGTGACACAACTTTTAAGAAAAAGTGGAATTGTATGGTTGATATTCAATTGATAAAGTGTGAATAAAGTAGGAATGAATTGTAACCACACAAATATTACCAAATATGGTATGGGACAAACTTAATGGGACGGACGAAAAAGGTAAAACGGGACAAAGTTAGGGGGGCGGAGAGAGTACTATTTATAGAAATGAGAATTTCATTTTTTATGTCAATTTATTATGCCTCGCTCATGTAAAAGCCCAAAATAAAACTCCGAACGGTCTTTATTATGAAAATGTAATATTTCATTGGGATTCTAAACATGAAAATGTTTTCAAACTTTTGACGAATATATGCCTTATTATCTCCCTTGTGAAAGTAGCCTCATTCATTGAGTTCTTACAATAGGGAAATTCATTACACCATTAACATGTCTCCATTTGATATGTTTTGTAACTTTAATCTCAAAATTAACTGAACTTTACACGCGCGGAGATGTCTGCAAGCTGGATCTTCATGTTTACGACAACAATTTTACTCAAAATTAAATGTTGTTGATTTGACTGCATCTCAAGCCCCAAATTTGATGTTAACCTTTTCTAATACAAGAATCATGACAACATAGCACAAGAAGACGAAGTCCTTTTGGAGATGCTAATTAGAGCTGTAGTAAGTGCTAGATTGAAGAAATAAAAAACATACAATGGGCTCGTTCAATTGAAATAAACTGTAAAGCTGGGTCAAGTCTTTGATCCTATCACTATTCATATGATATTTGTGATCAAGAAGCTAAAATTTAGTAATTATATCGCATACAAACTATACACTTTCAGACTAAGTAGATTTTTACCAATCTATAGGTGTCGTGTTTTGGTAAGACTACCACGAATTCAGATGTCTATACAAACCTCACTTATGTGTGCAAAACATAACTTCTCTTTAAAATTTCCAATCCTAGTTAGTTAAATACAGTGCGAGAATTAAACTAGGTTCAATACGTATATGTTTTACTCGCTAACGTGAATTAAAAACGGATAAAATTCGTTGAAAAATGTTGACTTTTAAAAAGCATGTAAATACGTATATGTGCACAATGTGGGCTTTTCAAAAGGATCGGACAAAAAAATGGGTCTTGGTCTGAACATTTAAACTGTATACATCACAAAACAACATATATAGTAAAAAAAATCATATTGTACACATATTCAAGTAGCAAATCTCATTACTACATCAAAGAAAAATTCGTAATATCACAAGTCCATGGAAAAAAATACGTAGTAGTAATTAACTCCAAGAAATAATTCGACAAAAAACAGTATCAAGAAAACAACGCAAAATAACGATCGAACAAGGCCAAGTTAACATCATCATCTTCATCACATAACACTCTAGTTAAACTCACCACCTTCATTAAGATGGATGGCATATGAGAAAGGTGTGTGGTTGCTATGTTTGTTATGGTTTATGATTAGAAATTTACACTGGAAAATGTTAGGTTTAAAAAATTCGTTTGGCTTCCTGAATGTTCTTTTGGTTGAGGGATAAATTTTATTGTAGAATGTAAAATACACTGTTTGGCATTGCTTTGTACTGTGGTGTCATTATTATTTAAGAGTAGTAGCGTAAATTGATGAAATTCATTTACCAAATAGGGAAAAGAGAATTTATTTAGAGACATTCATAAAAGGAAAGTGAGAGGTTTAAGGGACAGAGGGAGTATTGTAACGATACAAACAACACACAGTCACGGCGAGGAGGTTTACTTTTTTTGTATTTAAACTATCGTTTATCTCCTATTCGTTTAATGCATTCATTCAATTGCTTTTTAAAGTACAGAAAATAGACATTTTCTCGGTTTTTTGTAAAGTACAAGGAGCGGATGTTTTCCCCATTTTAAACGGACCAGCCTTATTTTGTTTTAAATGTGCTTTTTTATTCAAAAAATGGTACATGTTTATAACATGTATAAGCTAACTAGGTTAATTCATACTTCCTTTTTTATACAAAGCATTCAATAGATATCTTGAAATACTCTTTTGCCAATATTTAGCTTCTGAGTTACAAACTTACAATGTACATAGATACATAAATACATACACATAGTCACATATATAAGGGGAAAAAATAAAAGTAAAAATATATACATATATATTAATATATAAGTCCGCTAAGGCCAACGTTTAGGGCCTAACTTTAAAAGTTATAAGGTCTAAATCTTATGTTTCAAAAGTATAATTGTTTCGATATAAAAAATTATCTCAAAAAATGAAAGTCCAAGCAATTTGAACACTTAAATTTTACATTTGCCTTTTAGGGTTCCATATTACTCTACCATATACACATTCATCTTCTTTGTCAGACCCCCAAGATGTACTCAATACTCATATTTACAGCCGTTGAAATTTAAAAAAATCCACAATCATATCTTAAAGTTTGTACTTTGTATTGACTTAAGCTTTCCTCCTGCGAACTACTCCGTAAGAAATCACTAGCCGGACACATATCCCCCGTAGCGATCACTCGACTTTCTCCAAAGCTGGTGTATGGGGTTTGTACTTTTCCTGACATTATGTAGATTGAAAGGTTGGTTCATTATAGTGTGTTATTTCTTCATGGCTATTGTTGGCGTTTTTCTTATTAAGTCATCATCGTGCTCCTCATCTACCCAACAGTGGTGCTGATGACTCATCCCCAACCCTGTTTACAAACGCTGTTATCTATGATGGTATATGGATTGTCATATTCTTGTTTTCTTTGTGTTTTGTGTTTCAGTCTTTCAGAGGCATTTGGGTTTGAAACACTAAAACAACTTTCTCGTTTGTTGTTTGATCAGCAATATGCTCAGTCCTACTTAGGTAGCGTGGCCCTATGTCTTGCCAGAGCACTTTCTTGGCTTACTTAGCAGTTTGGTATGCTTTTGTAATTTTAAGTCTTGCATTTACGCGTATTGGTCTCTAAACTATTGATTACTAAAGTTGCCCCCCCAAATCATGTGGCGTTAACCATTCTAAGACGCTCTATTATCCAGAAAACCATCACAGAAATGTGTCACGCCCCCCTTCTAAGTTTAATATTTGACGATTTTTTAGAGTATTTACGTGTAATATATAACCTATACTTCATTAAAAATGCTGTTACTCTAGAACTCTATTCTCTAACACCTAGAAAAGTTACTAGTGAGTATATATGTTCTACCATCTCTAAAGCTTAATGTAATCTCTGGATGGGTAAAGATCTTTAAATAGATACCTTTGTACTTCATTGATAGTCAGGGGCGGAGACAAGGGGGGTCAGGGTGGTCAGTCGACCCCGCTGAAAGTTCAAGAATGTAGAGCTCTGAAATACCTTCGATTTGATATATTATGGGTCCGGTAACTCATTACGACTAAAAAGTTATGACTTCTGGAAAAATCAGCACCATCTTAACTTGAAATAGACAAAATTTGATGTGTGACATTGATTATATTCTTAAATTTAAAAATAAAACAACTTATTCAGTCATTAGTTGTGTGAACATTATATACATTACCTATATATCAACACAATAACCGAAAAAATCTCATTAAACTACAATTTATCTCACCTACATATGAAACATTTAACTCACGTATTGTATAATAACTATCCATCATTTTGATATTGTATATAATTAAATTTTGACCCCCCTCACATTTTTCTGGCTCCGCCCCTGTTGATAGTTAGGTATGCATGAGTATTTGATTAGCCATACGCACCTGTGCTGATCATCGGATTAGTCTACTAAAGCTCACACTTGTAAGATTGTTTATTTTAGCTCTATTGTTTATTTTAGCTCTAAAATCATAGCTTGTAAAGGTTGTTGTGATGAGCTCTGAAAGAGGCCAAATGTAGAAGGTTTGGTGGATTTGCTAATGAAAACAAAAAAGTTCTTCGATGCACCAGTGACTGATGTAACACAAGGTGCAAAGTTTGTTTAAGATAGACATGCAACCCCTAAAGGTCACATTGGTTCACTCTACTTTGAGAAGGGGGGTCAGAGTAGTTTATTTTTGGAATACTGAATTGAGCCCTTAGATATCTAACTGTAACTTTTTGAGATAATAATAATACTCCCTATGTATTCAAATGTCTGGGACATTACGCTTTTGCAAAGAGTTTAAGGGTGAAATAGCAAGGGTAGTGAATAATGTAAAAGAAGTAAAACGTAGGAGAGAAGGATGAAAAGTATATGAAAAAGTAAAAAAGTAAGAGTGATTAGGAATTTTTAAAAGAAAAACTCACCAAAAGGGGAAAGTGTCACAAATATTTAAGAGAAAAGGGTCAAATAAGGCCTTCTACTATTACGGAATCATCACATAAGGTCATGTACTCAATAAAATGTCATATAAATACGTCTACTTATAAAAAGCAATCGGATGAGTCAAAACGACCCGTTGACAACCTCATAATCCCAATTTTAGCTTACATGCCGTTATTTTTGCCTTTTATTTAAGCCGATCCTGACCAAATATTTCATGTCAGCCTTATAATATATTCTAAAAAAGATAGCGAGACGTACGCTAAAACCGGGATTACGATGTTGTCAACAAGTCGTTAAGAGTCATCTGATTCTTTTTTATAAGTAGGCGTATTTATATGACACTTTATTGAGTACATGATCTTATGTGATGATTTCATAATAGTAGAAAACCTCATTTGACCCTTTTCACAATATATAAATACAAACTGAAACGGAAAATGTTGCAAACATTTGAATATGGAGGAATAATAATAACAATATAATAATAATTACAATTAATAATAATAGTAAAATATAATTCTTCCAAAAAAATAATAGTAAAATAGAGAAAGGGGTCAGATAGGGCCTCGAACTTACAAAAAAATGTCAAATAAGGTCTTATATAGAAGGTTCTGTCCGGCCGACGCCATTTGGGGCGGTTCCCGGTGGAATTTTTCGATGAATTTTTGTGAGCATCTTATTCATCAAGTCTAGTTTACTCATACCAATTTTCAGCTACAACTTCAATCAGGAAGGCATTCAAATAAATTCTTGAAGATAAGTGCGCAGTTATCTTCAAGAATTTATTTGAATGCCTTCCCGATTGAAGTTTTAGCTGAAATTTGGTATGAGTAAACTAGACTTGATGAATAAGATGCTCAAAAAGTTTCATTGAAAAATTCCATCGGGAACCGGCCCAAATGGCGTCGGCCAGACAGAATCTCCTATATAAGGCCTTATTTGACTTTTTTTTGTAAGTTCGAAGCCCTATCTGACCCTTTTCCCTAGTAAAATATAATAACAAAAATATAACAATAATAATAAGAATGAGAATAAGAATAATAGTAGTAGTAGTAGTAGTACTAATAGTAATAATAATACTAATAATTTTAAGAACAACATCTACAACAATAGAATGATAATACTAATAACAATAGCATCAATAATAATATGATGATGATGATAAGAAGAAGAAGAAGAAAAAGAAGAATAAATAACAAGATCGAAGTGCCCGGGATGACACTTGTTTAAACATTAAGCCTCTGCAAGTCTGCATACAAATATACGATAATACGGTTACTTGTATTCTGTATCCCTACCTTTTAGTTTGCTTTTTTTGCCGTATAGAGTTACAAGTTGCTTACAGGTTCTGATTAAGATGAAAAAACAGAAATAGATTGTATGGAGAGATTGAACTCAATTGTATAGTATACAAACTAACGATTTAGTAGCAATTAATATTGAAAATGTCAAGACAAAACATTCTCAGTTGTTCTACGAGTCAAGGTTATACAGAATTTTACAAGGAGGAACGGAAATACTCATGTTAGATGGTTTTCCGTGGAAGGGGATCGATTGAAGATCTATTTAGCTTTTGTACTTCGCTCCTTCTCTAAAGACTGTACAAACTCTTACAGATGAGCAAATGATTAATCATGCTGAAGTTGGTATATTGTAAGCCATTCTTGCATCCGGACATCACGCTGGACAAATTCCCAGTGCGCTTAGGTAGACATCCAAATCAGGCGTATATAATTTAACTTTAACCATGCTAATAACTAACAAGTACCGAGGCACTTTCATCACCCACATATTCCTTACAAAAGTTTTACCGGAACAGCAAGATATGGAAGCAATTCCACTCACCTTGGCATTGAATAAAGGAGGTAATGGTTTGGAATCTCATAGATGTGTGCTAAAGCACTTCCTATGAGAAAGTGTCCCTTGGCAAAGACTCAAAGCAGGAATCAAGTCACAGATATTCGAATAAAAATCAGCGGAAAAAAAATGTAGATTGTCAGCATACATTGATGACTTTTTTTCAAGATCAGTGAAAATAATATGTGAGCATACACTTAAGCCTTATATTAAGGTTATGCTACGAAATTTTCTCCATAATTCCATTACTGTCGCTCATTCCACTTTGGGAATATCCAGATTATGCTTATCTAAAGAGAATATTTTGAAACCTTTTTATCTGCGAAGGCTTTCAGTTTGACTTTTGACTATATTTTCTTGGACAATTTTGATGTGCCAGCAATAATGGATTTTGGCTACTGCTTTACAAACCCTTGGTGCCATAACTTCAGACTATCCACTTAGGGGTCTATCTGCACTCAACATGCTTCATCAGTTACCAATACTTGTAGTGCAAAGAACGACAAGTGCGCACTCAAAGTAATACAAAATCTAAATGTTGATGATAAACAAAAGTCTAACACTGACTTCTGAATGCAGAACATATAGACATTCTTAATTGTGTGATGAACATTGAGTAGAGAATCAAATTCCCCAAAAGTCAGTTGCCTTTGAGCTAAGTGGAATAAAAATAGCTCATTCTTTATGCTCTTGGAGAATATAAACGAATAAACAGATCCAGATTATCATGGTAAAAGAAAGAAAAACTGGCATTTGTGTTCAGATTGCTTCTTGTGGTACATCTATTAATATTTTACATAAATATATAATCGGACATCACTACACACAATATCTTACCGTACACTCGACTAAATTAACATATAGGAGTACGGTTTAAGAAGGTTTTTTATTTAGTAGGCATCCGTGAAGTATAACAAACTATGTCTATATCTATTTCACCTCCCCTTCGAAAGTAATGGGGCTATAAACCTCTAATTTAAATTCACTCCAATGAATACTTACCGAGGTACCGTCCATTTCATGCATTTATGATGGCATTATTTTATTGAATTTTAAAATCACTTTTACTTCAACAAGAGGGGAAGTGAAGCGGTGTCAACAACTAAATCATCTATGAGCTGTGATCCAAGTTGGTCGAGTGGAACTATGAAATCAATGTTAAGTGTTAACCCATCCAGGCAACAGTTTTACAAATTGATTGGGGCATAATACTTAAGCGTGGTGTTTTCATAATGAATGGTTCACAAGTTCAATTGTGGTGTTTTCAAAATGATTTACATATCATTGTGAGTATATGCAAATATTGTGATAACAGGAAGGTTAACCTATTTTTGTGGTGCCTTGTTTCTTCGTTAGATTAAAAAACAAACAAAAAGTAACTGAAAGCTTTAGGAGATTAGGTTAGCTTTGATTTTTCGACATTCATGCACTTTTTTCTCTTTAAAAATGCTTTCCCCCAGAGGAATGTTGGAGCAATCAAAGAAGAGGCGGTGAGAGGAAATAGTATCCATAAACATACCTTCTCTTTAATTACTTCATCTTTGTTTTCAATCAGCATGATAGTTTTCATGCATGTAGAGCAAAAACCTTTGTTTCCTCTGACACTGAAGTAATCAGTGCTTGCTGTGCAAACCTTGCACAATGAGAATGTACATGTGTAGCACATATAGTGGGAAGACTTCTGACACACACTGCATATATGCCAACCTAAAAGAACAGCATCACCATCAATGTGTTAAGCTACACAAAACTATAATTCTAAATTGAATTATTAACAGTAATTAATGATACAAGGATAGGGACTACTATGTGTAAAAAGGAGTAAAGCTCAGTAAGAAGATTGGTTCAGGACTGAAAATCACAAAATAGCAACAAATGACCGGGTATTATTAACATCCACATTCAACAATAATAGAAGAATAAGAATTACATGAAGAATTTGAAAGCAGAAAGAGATTAGTCTCCTGTATTACTAAACTAGCAATTGAACAAGTAGAGCTATTGCCCTCCATAGCCAGGTTACATCCACGGATTAGTGTGCGTGTAAATGTCACAAACTATAGAGAATGGGACTTTAAGATACAATGCAGGGCAAATAGCAAGATCAATGCATAAAAAGTTCGATAGATATGTAAAAGAGGCGGCATACCACAATTCCACTTCGCGGTTGAGCTGAAATATGAGTCATCCCGCTTAATACAAGCTGGGTGGTATGCTTTTGGGCAGCCCCTAACCAGAAATAAGACAACTCGGTTAGAGTTGGTGAGGAAGCAGAAACTAAGTATTAAACCCCATACAAATTTGGGGGAGAAAGTGCGTGACTTAGAGGGATTCGCTCACTTGCGATCGCAGAGAACGAGAGAGCCACCATCGAAGCAGATGAAACAAACGTCTTCCTCCTCCATCATCTTCCTAAGTGGGGGGGGCTTAGCGATTGCCTGCCCCCTCGGTGGCCGGCCTCGCTTCCTCTTCTCCGCCACGGAAGACCTCCTATCATGTCCAGCGGCGATCGCAGAATCAGCGGCCACTGCCGGGGGAGCTGCAGCCGGCTGCGAGTGATCCATCATCATTGACTGTGGTTAACTGATCGTTCGTTGACCGCCAGCTCAGCGGGTTCTTCTTCTTCAGCGGCAGCGGAGGAACGTGACGCAGCACATGGTGAAATGAATCAGAGTGTGAACTGGTACAGGAAGCAGAAAACCTAGATGATGGTGATGATTGCTGTTGTTGTTGTATGTATCTCAATGGCGTAGTGCTTCCGTGTTCTTATGGGCAATGAAATGACAGATCATTGACCGCTTCGAACGTCGTCGTTTGAGGATGTGGAAAGTTGAGACGGTGGACAAAGGGCACGGGGAAATAAAAGTTGTGACCCATAAATGCGGCCGAGGGGGGAAAGGTCAAATTTTTGAAAAGCAGGAAAATCAAACAAACTAAGGGTGGGCATAGAACTCGAACCGAATCGGTATCGAACCATCCCGTAATGGTATCGAACCGAATATCAGGTATATAAATGGTTCTATAGATTTTTATCACGTATCGAAACCGTGCCGTTTGAAACGGGTGTAAGATCGGTCCAAGATTTTGAGAACCGAAAAATACCGTACCTAACCATTTGAATATAATGCATTTGAATTTTATATATTTTTCTATATCAATAGATCTCTTTTATAGCCCAACAATTTTGTACCCCAAGTATGTATTCATGTATCCCTAAGATATCTAAATGTGTTATATATATATATATATATATATATATATATATATATATATATATATATATATATATATATCTTTATATAATATAAAGGAATTGGGTGGAGAATTGGATTTCTCCAATTATTCCCGCCTATTCCCGCATTGAATCATTCCTCAAGTCATAACATTAAATGGAATTGGATGGACAAATGGATTTCTCCAATTATTCACGCCTATTTCCGCATTAAATCATTTTTTAAGTCATAACATTAAATTAAGTTATTTATTATATATGGTAAGCAATGCATAATACTAAAGGAGATGCTTGAATGTGAGATGCATGCTTGACCAACGCATGAGACCTAAATGATCGAGGTACAGTAACTTTTTTTACTGAAATTAATTGAGCTACAATAACTTTGTATATCAATTTTATAATAATTTAATCAAAATAGGCATACAATTCAATCCGCTACAAGAAAATTGACTTTTTGGGATGAACAATTTTCGACCAACGTTAAATTTACTTGAATTATAATGAAGATATGCGTTTTATGGACCATATATATTGTCGTACCACATGTATGCGATCACAAGGGTAAATGCGCATAAAATTTGAACAACTTAAGGAGTTCATTATCATCGTCCATAATTACTTGAATCCAATTACAATTCTAGAAAATTATTCAAATCTGTAATTACATACATAGAATATCTCATCTTTACAATTTATAGAATCAATGGATATAAAAAAACAGCCAGAATTAGGGACCGAAAAAAGCCCACTATATTACCCGGAAATTACCCGTAAGGCATCGGGTCATGAAAATTAGGGACCGAAAAAAGCCCACTATATTCGGTCCGAGTCAGGTTTTTTGTAGCCCGGGTTCGGTCCGGGTTCGGGTTGGGTCGGTTAAAGCCCGAATGTGAAATCACTCATTTTTCTTTTATATTTTAAAATCTATTTTCAAATAAAATTAATAAAAAGTACAAACCACAAATAAAATTAATAAAAATCACAAATATTAGTCTCCAAAATCACCAAGAATTCAAATCCAAAGAAGACAATTATCATAATATTTTGTTTAAGATGCATAAAAATAAGTAATATAGGTGTTGTAAAAATGTTATAAAATAAAATTTAGGGATAAAAATGTAACTAAAGTTACTATAAATATGTTTTCATGGTCATTACGGTAAATAAATTGAACATATTTGTAGTCACTAAAAGTTATTAAGTCATTTTTTCGTCCATCATGATTATAATCATAAATTAGGAATTAATTTATAAATTATATTGGTATATTATATTGATTTTATATTAAGGCTAATTGTTTCGGGTTTTATCGGTCCGGTCCGGGTTATAGATTTTAGGGCCCGTTAAAGAGCCCGAAGTTTCGGATTCGGTCCGGGTTTTTTTTATTCGGGCCGGTCAAAAAGAAAAAACCCGGACCGATATCATAATTCGGGCCAGACCAGGACCGGTTTCCGGGTTTCGGTTCGGGTTTTCCCACTCCTAGCTAGAATTTACAAAAATTAAGTGGATAAAAATGTAGATACAAGAACAACATAAAAAAGTAAAAAATTAGTTTCCTCAATTTAAAAAAAAAACATACTTTTTAGTCTAAAAAATGTTATTTCTCTTATAAAATAAAACTCATTGAGTAACAAATTTATATAAAAAATACTAGGGTGAGCACATTGGTTTCAATTTGGTTTTAATATCAATTCGATTCGGTTTGAAACAGATCGGAATCATACTATGTTTTGGTTTAGTTCAGATTAAATCACTTCGTTACAATTTGAATTTGTTATGTTTAAAAACATATTAAAAATTTATTGATTATTTGAGTTCAGTTCGACCTTATTCAATTTCTCACGATCTCAATTAGTTTTAATTTGATTTGAACGACATACCACTAAATTCAAACGAAATTGTGTATGATTTGATTTCGGTTCAATTTGGTACAATTTGGTTTACTTAAACCGAACCGGTTTGCTTACCCCCTAAAAACACTCATGAAAGCTCATTCTCTCATAAGATAAAAACTAATGTAAATTTTTCTTAACCTTTTTCTTTATGTATCCATTTTTTTTTTCAAATTTGAGTTTTTGCGACTTTACAAGACTTTTAATGAAATTTTTGAATATATGAATTTTATTTGCTAAAAATAATTTCATTATTAACAAGGATCACTTAAGTTTATGACCTGTCAAATATCATAAACGCAACTGAGACGTTACCCGGGCCGAAGGTAGTATACAATATTCATTCAATCTCTTTTTAAGTTGAATAATGTGAGTTGATTTTTCCCGTGCAACGCACGGGTTCATTGTCTAGTATATATATAGGGGAGGGTTCTAGTGAGAACTCTCTTAAAATGAGAACCCGTGAGAACCCCAAGGAACCGGTGGTATTATTGGCTGAATTTTTTTGTGTATGTTACTCATCAAGTCTAGATCATCCATACCAAATTTGAGCAAAAAATTCAATCGGGAAGATCGTCAAATGATATCGGACCAATGGAATATCATTGGTATATATATCGGACCAATTTTCTTTCAAAAATCAGTTGACGACCTTCCCGGTTGATTTTTTTGCTCAAATTTGGTATGGATGATCTAGACTTGATGAGTAACATACACAAAAAAATCAGCCAATAATACCACCGGTTCCTTGGGGTTCTCACAGGTTATCATTTTAAGAGGGGTTCTCATTTTAAGACGGGTTCTCATTTTAAGAGAGTTCTCACCAGAGGGGCCGTCCGGCCGACGGCGTTTGGCCGCCTTCCCTGTAGAATTTTTTGTTGGTTTATGGAATGTTCTTCAAGTCTAGTTTATCCACACAAAAATTCAGCTAAAAACTCAATTCGGAAGGTTGTCAAATGATTTTTTGAAGTTGATTGCGTTTTTTGTGTGTAATTTTGCACACTTAACTTCAAAAAATCATTTGAAGACCTCCCGGATTGAGTTTTTAGCTGAATTTTTCGGTGAAACTAGACTTCATGAAGAACATGCCATAAATATTTCATCAAAAAATTCTACCGGGAAGGCGGTCAAACGCCGTCGGCCGGACGGCCTCTCTGGTGCGGCCGGACGCACCAGAAAACTACAATATATATATGTTGCTATTTTTTCTTTTTATATAATTTACGTTATAGTTTGGTATGTATTGAAAGAATATTAAAATTTTAGAAATCATTAATGACTATATTCATTTCTAGTATACATGACTTTTTGTTGTATCATGTTTGTGCGATTTTTACAACCTAATTAATATGGTTTAAATCTTAGCTCTCAAGGTTCAACTATAAATTAAATTAGAACTACGGAGTACTCCCTCCGGCCCATAAAATAGTACCCGCTTTCCTTTTTGGGACGTCCCAAAAAATAGTTCTAATTTCCCTTTTTGGAATGTTTTGTGTGGCTACCATTCATTTACATTTTTTACTCAACAACACTCATACATTTCCACTTTATTCTCACTTTCTTAAACTCCGATCCAAATCCAAATGGGTACAATTTTATGGGACGGAGGGAGTAATATTTAACCTAGGAGAAGGAGAAGGAGAAGGAGAAGGAGAAGGAGAAGGAGAAGGAGGGAAGAAGGAGGAGGAGGGAAGAAGAAGGAGGAAGGAAGAAGGAGAAGGAGGGAAGAAGAAGAAGGGAATAATAATAATAATAATAATAATAATAATAATAATAATAATAATAATAATAATAATAATAATAATAATAATAATAATAATAATAATAATAATAATAATAATAATAATAATAAGAAGAAGAAGAAGAAGAAGAAGAAGAAGAAGAAGAAGAAGAAGAAGAAGAAGAAGAAGGGAAACACTTCTTGAAAAAGAAGGGACGTCTCAAAGTAACTGGAGTGGTGAAGTGGTGATACTTCAAGGATACTCAGTGAAACGAGACCAGCCATCAGGAAGTTAGGAAGAGCATCCTGGGTGGCAACTAGACTTGAAGAAGAAGAGGAGAGCTTCTTGAGTGCTAGGACTAAGGCGTTGTAACCGTTGTTTTTACAAGCTTAGTGGAACAGTGGACTAGAGGAACGTGCTGTTCCTTGAACCACTTCTATACATTTCCTACCATCTCTATACATTTATAGAGGTTTATTATGTGTTAGACCCCTAGATTTTGATAAAAAGTTTTGATGATGCCAAATCTTTTATTTGTCCCTAATCTTTTGTAGCATTTAACTTGTCAAATCAAAGTAATGTATTCTGTTCTAACCAAAATTCTAGTAAACTAATATCTGAAAGTGTCTTGCTCAAATGGTCAATTAACAAATAAACTTAACTGGGAAACACAAAATGCAATAAGGTAATATTCCATTACCTTAAAATAGGATTTCTTATAGATCCTACCAGTTGAACTTATTTGTTAATATCACATCAAATAAAAACAAAGTATTTCGAATACACTATTATTTAACTGGAACACAAAATGCAATAAGGTAACAATTTTTGTCTTAATAGGATTTGTTATCCCACCAGTTAAATAACAGTGTTTGATTTCGAAATACTAGC